TCTTTTTTAAAAAATATATAATTTGTTTCTGTTTTCGTCAGCTCTGCTCATTAGTGCTTTCTTTGTGCTTTGGCCCAGAGAGACCTTTTCTCTCTCAGCATTGGCCCACGCTGTGAGTTCCTGATCTGGGCTAAGCAAGGTCAGGCGATTCTCAACAGGAACAAAAGGGAATTCAAGCAGTTCCTCCCCTGCTGTACTTGCGTAACTCCTAACAGCCAGGTACAGAGAAGTACTGGCAGAGAGATTCTACCAGATCAATTAAATACCTCCTTAAAAAACTTAAAACTATGAAGAAAAGGATTAGATGAAAATCTTGGGTAAATAAATGGCTGTACATCAAACCTGTGATACCTCGGGGTGGAGGGAGGGGTGTGAAACTCTACTGGTTGATAAAATTATCTGTCTTGCAGGTGTGTACTTAAAGTAGAGAAATCCCATCCCCATTATATAAGTATATTCTGCTAATGTGTGCCTCTACTCTCTGGGTGAATGGAGATGGTGTTGATGATGGATTTAATACCATTGGATGTCAACATGCCAATGTCATCACTTTACTTTGCTCTGGTATTCAATGATGGAGTCTATCACTTGCCAATCACTAGAAATCTATGTTGTAAACGGGATTTCTTATTGGAAAGATGCGTTATCGCCTATGGTTCAGTGAGGGTTGTGTTAGCCAGTAAGAGATTCACGTGGTGTAAACTCTTAACCTCCTCCTTTCCTGCTAGCATATCTGGGAGAGCAAACGTGAAAATGAAAAATGTAGGAAATAATTTGTAGCAGAAATGTAACATTTTTTTTCCTAGTTTCATGGAGAGCTCTCAACACCCAGAGAGGTTATATTCCAAACTGCACTCTGAAAAGTGCAAAAGTTTGATAAAGTATGTTGTAAAATATTAATTTTGCATAATAGATATTTTTGTATTGCAGCCAATGTTCAGTCAAATAATAAAAGGATTTCTTTCAAATCTTGAAGAAAATGTAAAGAACAAACTTTTCATCCTCTCAAAGACTTAGTTGTCGATTTCCTGCCAGGGTTCCTCACTGTACTCCTCTGTCAACAAAACACTGAATGGGGGGGAAGAATGAACTTCCCATCAGAAATATAAACAGCGAGTATATCCTGTGTTTCATCTGATTTTATAGCTTAAAATAATATACGATTAACTACTTGTTAAATTTGAAGGCGGCTCTTTAGGAATGAAGAACTCAGGCTCGAGCGTGGGAAGCAGCAGAGAGAGCCAAGAAAAATGATAGGAAGACACGTGAGATTGAGGGATAGAACCGTGAGGGATTTTGACAGGGATGTTTTTGCACAAGTGGAAACGTGCTGAATAAATAGTGAAAGATCTCGCCAGGGCACAAGGGTGAGCCACAACAGTCCTTTGACAAATTTGAAGTCTCAACAAAAATGAGTGTATCAAGGCATCTCTGCTCAGACCTGATGGTACTGTGGGCCAATGGTCATGATTCCTGCACCTCAAATGTTAGTGGAGATATTCTCTGAGTGCATTGGGTGCTTATCTCCAGTTGTACCTCTTTGATGGACTCTGGAATGCCATCTGCTGCTGTGGACCAAATGTGTGGAAAATTATACTGTGCATAACAAATACAAATGACCAGATTGCCTCAGTGGATCAGGAGTGTTATATGATGGAAGTGAATTAAATGGTACACTGGATTAGAAGTGCGTTTATCCTAATTCCACATATTACTAAATCACAAATCATTCCTGGATTGGCTATTGTATGGAGCAATATACCACCTCATTGGTAACTAAATATTCTTCGATTCTTGTTTCTTGTTAACTGTTGATACCGATAATGACACAATAATTGGCCTTAGTCTCCCTGTGCTAGGGAGTTGGGCGGAAAAAACAGCTTGTGTTTGTGAACATCTAGTAAGGACAGGTTGAAGTTCAGCTGAGATGCCCTCCCCCATAGTTGAATAACTCACTGTGCTCATGTTTGAAGGATAGTTACTTTGAACAAGGTATTGCAATGTTACTGTACCCTATTGTAAATAGCTGTATCCACAGATAGCTTGTGCATTGTTCTGAATCATTTGCTTGCATGGTACACTTATGCACTGAGGTCTGCTGCTATGCCTATGTCCTTCAAAATTGTTCTCAGCCAGATACTTACCTAATTCGATTTGAAGGAGTTAATCGATGCAGCATCCATTGCTTTTGTTTTAGAAACTGCTCCGCGTATCCATTACTCAATGGAAACAAAATCTTCTGATCTGTAGTACAGTTCATGGTTTTAATGGTAATTCTGTGCTTTCTAAGTTCTGTTCTCACCATCCAAATCAAAGAGCTTGCTTCCATCTGTGCTTGCCATTACTTAAAATCTTGTATCTTATCCCCATCAGATGTTCTTTTTCGCCCAATGCAAATATGTTCACCTCTGAGAAAGTCGTCATAAGTAAGAGCTGTAAATCTTGGAATCATCTTTGTTGCTTTTCTTCTGAACCCTCTCCAACACTTTAATTTCCTTTTTGAAGGCAGGGTGCATGCCTGAAGCAGCACACAAAATTCCATACGGGACCTTTACCAGTGACCTATATAAGGTTAGAATAACCTCTTTCAACTCAATCAGATGCCCTCAAGATTCAACCTTGTATTTGATTAAGTTTGTTGGCAGCTTCACCGTGCCTGGAAACCTTCAGTCAATGTCACAGTTACACCCAAATCCTTTTCCTTCTCCACACTGCTAATGGACTGCCCTTCCATTGCCAACCTTCAGAGCCAAAATCATCAGATTACATTTAAAATAATATCACACAAGAAACAACCAGAATTATAGTCAAATAAATCCTTTTCTTCAATCCGTTGCCAACTGACAGAGATCTCCAGCTGAAATAAAATGGTGTGCTGTGCCATGACTGGATATGATGTGAGTTTGCCCCCACAGCTTCTCACATGCCACATTTGCAATCCTCATACTGCCTTCAGTGGCAAAGATGCCTAAAGGTGCCTGTTAGTGGTGAGGTGCCACTCCAGGTCTGGGGAAGGTTAAAGCCAAGAGTTGGTCCCATTGCATTGTACTTTTAATGAAGAAGAAGAATCCTTATATTTGGTATAGCACCTTTCCTGTTGGGAAGATGCTTCAAAACGCTTCAAAGAACATACCGGTGGTGACTGTGTATTTTGTGGGCAAAAATGGCAAGGTAGAACAGAAGTGAATTCCTTAAAGGGGCTGCTTGTACTTTCTCACTAGGCCTGGTGGGATTGACTCAATAGGCTGAGGTTTTAGCACTGGAGCTGCTGGAGGTTAAGAGACATTTCAGTAGCTGTGAATTGCTGGGGTCTGGTTTTAATCTCTACAGGAACTAACTAAAGATTATTGCATTGATACTAAGCAGCTGATGCAGCAGAGTAATTACCCACAACCAGGAACCGTTTAACAATTAGAATAGTGGAGTCGATGCTGTGGGACCTTATTTGCTCACTGAGTGAAGATTAGACACCCAGAATGTTTGTTTTGAAGGACCCTGGTTAATAACACGCCACATCCCTCCCCTAGCACTCACACAGGGCTGGATTGTTGCACTCCCGGACCATGTGTTCCCTGTTAACAAGTACAACCTGTCTGTAGAGGATGAGTTTGGATTTGACTCAAACCCTCCCACCCCCACCTTAAGGGCCATGCAGAGTTTTTGTGGGGTTTTTTTTGTAGGAATTCTTGGCTTGCAAGCCAGTATTTCCTGTTTTGCAAACATTCAGCTAGAGCTGGTGGTTTGGTGTAATAGGTGAAGGATGAAAACCATGCTGGTGTTAAAACCAAATTATGTTTTCCAGATCGGTTCAAAATGCAGCCCTTGCTTAAGATTGAATACGTGAATATCTCAATTACTGGTTATCTTATGGCAATGCTTGTGAACCCTGGCTAATATTTTTACTTTCCATTGCTTTCCAGATGCAAATTGCAGTGTTTCTATCAATTGCCCATTTCAGATCAACTCACTTAGTATACAGCTGCTGGTCTGCTCATGGTCAAGAGGGCAGGGGACTCAGGCTTTAAATAGTCCTCGGGCTTTAAATAGTCCTCGGGCTCCAATACAACGAATTCAAGGCTTGCAAAACACCTTTGCCACTACGCATACCATAGAGTGGAGACTAAACCTCTCCAAAACGTTAGAAGCAGAGTAAAGTTTCTACTCTGACCTAGGAGTTGCCTGCATCAGTGTGACACTATCATCAGCTCTGTAGTGGCCTCTCTGAGTGAGATTGCAGTTTGTTGTGGGGGTTTGATCAACAGGTGGGCAAGGATTGCTTCAAAACAACAGAGATGAAAGGGCAGCACGCTCTGTACCAACAGTAAATCCTTCAGCTTTCTAGGGAAAGGGTCCAGAAAGCATGCAGGCAGTGAGCACTGAGTGTGTATGTGTGAATAATCACTCGTGTCTGGTATGGCTCATATGTCTTGACTTTACCTGATTTGCAGAAGTAGAATTTTTGCAGATGTAGAGAGCACACTGGTTAATGAAAACTGTTCACTCCTCCTCTCTTGCCCACAGTATGTAGCTTCAGTATGTACAACATGTAGTTAATGTACATCTACATGACAAACCAGGTGAAAGGCAAGGGTTCACCTGCAAGTGTACCTCCTGAATGTCTCAGTTGTGGTATTGGTGATTATTACCAGGCTGAACTTGATATATCTTCTGATTTCAGTGATGCTGCACCATTTAAATGGTCAGCGATGAATTTACAATCGAGAAAGCTGGTGAATCAGATTTCCAACCTCAGTCCTCTATGTAGATGTCCCCCCCATAGTACTCCACTAAGGCCACTGTACTTGCCATTTGAGCATTATGTTAGAAACGAGGGTCATGCTCTGTGCAGATAAATTCAGAAAGATAAATCTTAAATATCACCCTGTGATGTAAAATTGAGATGTACACACTGCGCCGCTGAGAGCCCTTCTTTTGTAGTCATTGGACCCAATCAGTTTCTGTGTCTTTTCTTCCCTCCCTTTTCCTCCCCCAACCCCAAGTTGGAGAAGATATTGAAGCTTGAAGTCTCTGAGAGGGAGCAAGAGGCATCCGAAACGAAGACTGTGTCAGATGTCCGGCGTCAGTTTGAGGATGAAGAGAGAGTGTATAAGAGAAAGCTTCAGGCCTATCAAGATGGGCAGCAAAGGCAGGCTCAACTTGTACAGAAACTCCAAGCCAAGGTAGGAAGAAAGTCGCCTCCAAGGATTGTAGACACGTGGTGTGTCCATAACCAAGGTTTTTGGTATAAGCTTGTGAGGACAGGTTACATGCAAGTTCTGCAGTATTTGGGGGCTATGGAACTAGAGGTCTTCTGCTGGGCTGCCTTCTCTGTTGACGAGTGAGGAGGTTGGCTTTGTTCCATGTCGACTCTCAGGATGAAGCTAGGCCTCCTTTGGCCTCCTTTGTTGGTCCAGTGAGTCTTTTCCCAGCCTCTGCTGCCAGTTTATTTTTCTGATGGGAACCATCTGAAAGTAAAATGTCTTAATTGGAATTGAAAGTCAGAAAGGGTCCAAATAATCATCACTACAGATGAGATTGCCAGCTCTATAAGTGCCAACACTTTGATTGCTGTGTTGCCAAGAGGCTCCCCTGACCACACCTTGGCATCAAAGCACTTTCTCTGGGTATGATATGGTGCCTGTTTTTCCAATTATTGAGTTAGTACTCCATTGCAGTTCCAATTTAAAATAGCATAAACATTTGACGGAAGCCAAAATGCTTCAAACAATTCTTTTGTTCAACAAGTGGTCATTACATCAGGCTCACTTAACGTTTGAAGGTAACTTAGTTTATCCCAGTTTCATCCAATTTAATCCAAAAGAATCTTTGTTAAGTCACCATTTGATGCTGTCAAAATTCTGCTGAGGGTTGAAGGCTGTTCTTTAACAATAAGCTCTTGTGCAGTTTCTGCGAGTGAGATCCAGGCCAAAGCTGGGGGTTGCTGCCCTGTTACAGAAACCCGTCCGCATTGGGAACTGTAGAAAAGCAAGAATGAATGGTTTATGAGTCGGGAATTTGTCAACGACTTCTGGCCAAAAGGTGTTCTGCAAGGCATAGGGTGGGTTACAGTCAACAGTAATCCTCAGCAATCATACTGTAGATTAACATATAGACTATCCTAGGATACATGAAATACTGCAGTGCATTCTCTGGAATACATCAATGATATAGTACTTCACAAAGCATTCTTTGCAATACACAGCATAACATATTGGATGTTAAACAACTTCAGTGTATGAGTCAGGGATTCTAGTTGTGTATGTGTGTATATTATATTTTTTATATATGTATACATATTGACCTATCACATCTGCGCTGGTGCTAGTTACCCCACTAGATGAATCTGCTCCAATCAAAGGAAAGTAAAGAGATGCAATTCGTGTCTGACCTCGGAGGTGTCTCGAAAAAAGGAAAATGAATTGGAGCTCTGTTTAGATGGAGAAACTTGTGTAAATGCAGACCTGGTGTGGGCAGAGGTCTGATGTAAACACAGATGGACCAAACCACATCCCAGTCATTCCCAATGGAATTCGTAAACCAAGCACAAGTTAAAAGCAAAAATCCTGACCCCAGCAGAAATGGATTGAATTATTCAGTCAACCGCTAAAGTCATCAAGGGAGCAGCTCAGCTACTTTTATTTCAAAGGAGCAGGAGTTCCTTGTAGACCATTCAGCCACTCAAGCCTGTTGTGCCATTCTATTAGATCATGGCTAAGTTGAGAGAGTTGTTATTTTTGTGGAGCTATTTGTGGGACTCTGTTGTGTGCAATTGGCTGCCAGGTTTCGCCCACAAAATATAGTCAATTCACTTTACAGTATATTCTGCAAAGTGCTTTGAGATGTCTCAAAGACATGATAAGGTTTTGTATCAAATACAAGCATTATTATTCTTTGAGTGGGTTTTCTTGTGTTTTGTGCAATTTTTGAATGTCAGAGCAGAGGTTGAGAGTCTATGCTTATGTCCTTTGGTCCTTTTCAGGTTCTGCAGTACAAGAAACGTTGTGGTGAGCTGGAACAGCAGATCCTTGAAAAAACCTCCGAGTCAGAACAGTTCAAACTCTCAGTGAGTTGACTGACTATCTCTTCATGTACATAGAGGCTAATCTTAGACCTTTGCCATTCTGAGGGTGGGGAGAGAAACAGGATGCAGCAAATCTGCAAGAACATGATTGACAGGGTAGTGACCTACCGCCCAGTAGTCAGTTTGCACTGTGCAGCTTTTTACCTTAGCAGTTGGCTTTGCTCAGAGTTATGGTCTATTAAGTGATAGTACAGCACATCTCTGCTGAAAGAAAACAAGTGAGCGTGTGCTGAGAATTGGGGAGAAAAAGAGAATGTGAGAACAATGAGATTGGAACAAGAGTACAGGGAGCTTTACCTGTGCTGTACTTGACCTGGATCAGTGTCAAAAGAGCTTTCCCTCACAGTTAACCCACAATAGAGTCTAGCGGATGTTTCACAGTCATATCTTACCCAGTCACAGTGATCTACGGTTTCGGAGTTTCAATTATTCATAAGTGGAGTCGGTCCTAAACACCATTGGTGGCTGCATTTTCAGCCACTACGTCCCAAAACTCTGAAACACTCTTCCTCTATTCCCCTGCCTTGCACCCTCCTTCCCTATCTTCAGGTAGTGCATGAGGGGCGCTTTAAAAAATGCAAGTTGTTGTTGCTTCAACATTTGCTACTCCCAACGGGAAATCTTGTTCGTTTCAGTTACAGACGCGCTTGGAGACAACAGAGTCTCGCCTGAGGAGAACAGAACATGAGCATAACACTGACCTGGAGAATGCCCTCATTCGCCTGGAGGAGGAACAACAGAGGCTAGTGATGTTCTGTTGTCTTAATCACAAGGGAGATTTGGATGAAGAAAGCCCTAAGGCTCATTTGATTTTAATTTTTCCAAAATGCCAACTGTACTCTCATCCCATTACAGGATCAAATTATTTCTTAAATGAGTCCAAGTGTTCTGGTCTCGACCACCCATCCATTAATCCAATCCAGCTGCTAATTATCTTTTGTGTAAAGAAATAGTTATTTATATCTTTCTTCCTCTGGGGCTCAGCTTTATTGCTCTTATCTGACTCTAAAACTTCGTCAGCTCCATTATGCTGTGGTCATCCTTGTATTGTAGCAAGCCAGAACTGTAAGCAGTATGCCAACGTTTTCATTGAATTTTGATTCGGATTTCCAAGTAGCAAGAATTAGAAGATGATCCAGTGTCTGGGAGCGGAAGTCAGTTCAGAGTTGAACAGGTTTAACTTCTCTGGCACAGGAGTAGCAGTCTGACTCAGGTCAACGCCATGCTCCGTGAGCAACTCGACCAGGCTAACTCGGCCAATCAGAGACTCAGTGAGGATGTCCACAAAGTGACGACTGAGTATGCCAAAGCTCGGGACGAACTGGAGCAGAGAGAAATGAAGTGGCGTCGGGAGCAAGAGGTGAGTCTATTCTAGCCCCTTCTCTCCCAGGGAGGTGAAATTTACATTGTGTCTTTAAGAATATCAGTTCAGTGAAACTGAACGCTTTCTACTTTCCACAGAATCTCACCAAGCATTTTAATGGTGACATAAGGGAGTTATTCTAATAATAATAATAATGTAATCTAGAATGTTGAAATGTCTCAAAACGCTTAGCAGGTAACTGCTGTCGAGAGACTGGATATTTGTAGGGATTCTCTGCTTATTAAATTTGACCCGGCTTGTTTGTGGGCAATTGCAATGCGAATTTCCCATTATAAGTACTCAGCACTAAATTGGTAAATATACCGCAAAGTGGAGAATAACCTCAGAGGGTCGGTGTGTCAATGTCGCCTTCAAATTATCTGGAAAGAATTTATAGAGTAAAATCAGCATTTTAGTTCATCATCCGTTGAACTTCCTGCTTTTTCAATTTGGGAATTCTAACTTTGAAATCATGAGATGATCCCTTTAAAGGGTTATTGAACATCAATCTTTGTAAAGTCACCGTAACAGGATACAGAAGTCAATTTGACCTGCTCATAAACTGATCTGAAGTGAGTGGTGATGTGAAACACTTTTGTCAAGCACTGGAGATTCTTGTGAGTTCTTTATTGTTTTTTTTTGCTGATTCAGGCGTACAGCTCACATCTCTGTAATGAACACAGTCGGCTGCTGGTGCTATGGCGTCAGGTGGCTGTGATCCGCAGTGATTTCACTGAGCTGAGAAGTGAGACTGAAAGGTAAGTACCACCGCTTGGGTATAGGATTCAGGATTGGGGTTAATGAAAACAATGCCGCCCATTCAACTGCCTGATGAAGTGGATACTCCTATCTTCATCTCTTAAAGGAGTTAACTTCCTTCACCTTTGTCTCTTTAAAACCAACGTATTCAAAGGAAAGGCTAAATAGCCCACTGGGTCAGTCTGTTCACTTAACCGCTTACCTTCTTTGTTAGCAGTACACTTGATTCTGTGTAATATAATGTTATATGCTACACATGTAGCATATAACATATATATGTATATCCATCAATATCAGAGGTGCCTAACAGCATATCACACTACTGCACTAATCCCACTCTATTGTGTACTTCACCCAAACCCTGCTTGGAGAAAGTTCTAAATCAATACTCCCTGATCCCCAAAGGTGATTCAGTAAAAACTCCAAAATATCCACCAATCGTCCCCTAACCACAATCATTCATCTTGGGTTGTTGTCATAATAATAATAATAATAATCCTTGAATTATTGAATCTTCTAGATGTCTCAAAATGCTTCACAGAATATACTGTAAAGTGAATTGACTGCATTTTTTGTGGGCGATACGCGGCAGCCAATTGCGCACAGCACAAACAGTCGTGGATTGAAGTGATCAAACTATTATTGTTTTTTTGAGGGATTATTATCAGGCATGTGGAGTTAGAAAACTTGCCCAAGGATTCGCCCTGCTGGGAATCGAACCCAGGTCTCTCGCTTGTGAGGCGAGTGCTCTAACCACTGAGCTACAGGACTCCATTGATACACAGATTGCAGACAGTTTCTCTGTGTAAAGTAGTATCAATGTAATCAAGAGCTATCATGTCTTCGTTCCTCCTAGGGGTCTTGTTGAGGTTAAGGGGACTGTCTCTAGGACGATGCGTCGCATGCAGACTGCCTGCCTGAACCTGGACTCAAACCTGCGACTGTCTCAGACAAGTGCCACGTCTACACTGGAGAAACAAACGGCTCAGAGAGTACATGTTGAACAGCAGCTCCGGGAGAAGGTCAAAGAGATGATTCAGCTGCAGTGCAAGTGCGATACGGAAAAGGCTGAGCTCCATTCAAGGCAGGTAGCCTGATCTGTGCCTGGAGATCTACAGCAGCTCAATTGGCATCTAAAAGAGAAACACAAGTTAAACACTTCATCGGATTACACGTCCGTATGAACAGTTTCAGGTACGAACCTACTCGGATCTCAGATGCTTCAGAAGCCATCTGCGGAGATGTTTGTCCTAAACGTTAGGTTAGTGTTCCTCTTCCAACAGCAATCTTTAGTGCCTCAGAGTGCTGCAAGCTTGATTGAGTTGCTGTGGATATTTCAAAATTCCAGCATTTCGTTTTTGTTATTGTTTTAATCTCCAGGGATGGATTTTTATTTTTATTCCTGACGTTCAGTGAATTGAAGAATTAACAGCATGACCAATTCATTATGTGTTCTGTTTTAGGATCGATGAGCTGTCTGCTGCAGTGGAGAGACTGAGGGTGCAGAATGCTGAGAAGGAGAGGAACATTGCTGTACTGAACCACACACTGGAGAAGCTGGTGAGAGAACTTTGCGGCCAAAGTTTAATTAATGCCTGTCAAGAGGGACATAACCTCAGTCATTGTCCAAGAAAGATAGGTCAGAATCTCTGAACAGAGAGGGACCAAATCAGCTATGTTTCCTGCTTCTAATAATCATCCAGTCATTGTTCTAGTAAGTCCAAGTGATGATAAGACGTGTTTGGGTTCGGTCACAATACGAACCATTGATTGCCACTGACAGCCCAGCCTCACACATGAATAACAGCAACTCAGTTGAGCTAGACGTCTGAAGGCAGCAAATCAGAAAATGAAAAATAAGAGGGTGGTTGAACACAAGACAGAAAGGTTATTCTAGTTGACACTGCACTATTTCCTCTGGATAGTTCGTCTGCCATTCTCAGACGCTCGCCAGCTAGTGCACTCGCCCACTATATGCAAGTATAAATCAAAGACAATAAAATCATTTCAAAGGCCTTGTCGAACTGATTCTACTCAGTCCTGGCAGAGTGCTTAGGATCAGCAGTGTGTCAGCAACAGCTGCACAGCTTCATTTGGACATGTGTGAGTTGGGACAGGAAAGAGTGAGGAGCTCAGATCTTCGCGTTCATGCTGTCAAGACTTCTCAGGTTTTCATAATGAAGTTTTGTTGTGTCTAAAAATATACTATTTCCTCAACCTGAGGGAAGGGGGATATCTTAAGAAACTTATGATCAAAGCTAGAGTGGTACAGATAGTGGAGCAATTTAAAAAACCCAGCGCAGTGTTCAGTTTCCAGAGTGATGTGCATCAAAGTACATTGTTTCTTTGTAAACCAGAACAAGCAATTTGTCCGAGGACTTGCCAGGTCTGTGGGATCAATCCTACCCCACAGACTGATTCTCATATTTACATGTGTTTTTTGGAAGATTTCCTGATGAAATTGCCAAATGTTATAGACCTTTAGGAAGGATGGAATTGCAAAACAAGGCTGTACTGTACATTCCAATAAAAGAAGTGGATTAAATTGGAAAAATTCAGTCACATCCGTGTCTTGACTGCTATTCATCCCATATTTAAAAAAACTGATTGAGCAAGAGTAATCATCACATTCGCACACAGCTGCTGTGAAACTAACTTTTGCAAACAGTAACTTCTAGCATTGAGCATTGCTCTTTGTGGTCAGTGTTAATTACTCTTAATACTGCTCAGTAACTGGAAAGCCTGGGTATCGTGCTATGAGCTTGTGCACATATCAGGCACAGGCTGATACACCTTGATCACAGCACACTATTTACGGGTGAACCTGCATGTCTCTGTGAGTAATACAGACTGCCCAATGATCCAACTGCAAGTTGACCTTTTCACTCACTGTGCTTTCTTGTCATTTGCATCTGTCATGGGCTTGTAGTATAGTGTAGACGACGCTTATTGTGGGATTTCTTCTTATGGTTGAGTTTTTCATCTTTTTACTACTGTTGCCATTAAGAACTATCATTAGAACTAGAAAGAACTCTAATCATAAGATGTACCACATCTGATGCCATACTTGAAAATACATCCAGAGACTGAGGCTAATAACTGTTTTCTCTTGAAATATTGAATATTGCAACATGACAAAGTGTTTCTGTGGGTGGAATGAAATGAAATGGGCTCCATGTATGGTTTATATTGCCATTGATTTTATACCTGAATGACCGGGTTTAAAAATAAAAAGTTCCATTATGTTTGACTTTTTTCCTCTGTCCTGTGTTCCATTTTATGTGTGAGGTTGGATGTTACTCCTCTTTTTTATCTCTGTCACTTCTTCTCTGTTCCCTTTGAAACACGTACACACAGTAGTTGGAAGCAGAAACGTTCCACCGCATTAACTGTTGACAGAGTGCTAATTCTAATGCTGGCAGCATGTTTATCTGACTGTAGGAGTCCAGCAAACTTGAAAGTACAAGTGAATCCTCAGCAGCCGAAGGACTCAGGACTGAGGTGGAAACCCTCTACCAGGCCTTGCACAATATTGCTCAGGTACATTATAAACCGGCTTTTTATTTGGTTCTACGGTCAGTACTCATATTGAAGATGGGAATAGAGTGTCCATTCAAAATAAGGATGTGTAATATGATTAACAGCAGCGTTTTCAAGATGTAAGCTCAGAAGCAGGTCCACTCCACAGTGACGAGTTTGGGGTCCTTTCTTTCTCAGGTTGTTCTGGCCGACGCGGAGTCTGCAGGCAATCTTTCTGGGGAAGCAAGTGGTGATGGAAACGAGAGCAGCTCTGGAAGACTGGGCTCGCCCCTGCTGTCGGGGTCCCCTCTCCTACGCACACCTTCCCCCCACAGACGCCCCTCACCCACTCGCACCCGGTCACCTCTGCGCAGCATGTCTCCCTCTTTCAGTGATTCCACACTTTCCGCCGTGCAGTCGGCTCTCCAGAAACGATGGCTCCAAGTACAGGTAAACAAACCCTCCACCAATGCAGCAAACGAGGAAGATTTGACACGGAGGTGGATTTTACTTTGGGAAGATGGTGAGGAGGGGAGTGGGGAGGTTAACAATGTCAATTTGCATGTTGGGAAGCTGATAGGGTGGATATTCTGGAAGAACATGATTTACCTGAAGCTGTCTTGTGATTTTGTAAAGATCGAGATATGGTTACCTCAACTCATTCCTTCGTCAATCTGCTCTTATCTGTCAGTTTCCCTGGGTTTGTGACATCCATGGACTGCTCAGAAAACTACTATTATGCAATTCCTTTCCACCTCCAGCCAACTTTGTCGGCAGCAATTTATAGAGACGTTTATACACTTAGGTCGGATGGGCTGCAGAGATTTGAAACTGAGTAAGGCTTGAAAATCTTTGACATGCTCAGTGACCCTAGTTGATAATTTTTTTAAAAAATTTGCGCAACAATTCTGTGAACTCTGTCCAACTGGGTTGAAGAAAATATGTTTGAAGTTCTCTGCTAGTGAGTTGTCTCTAATGAGCCAGAAATAGTTTTAACCACTTTGCTGCTGAAGCACCTTGAGTGCCACCAGACTTGAACAGTTTTGCTGGTACATGAAATTGTGTAGATGAGGGATCACAGGGCCTGGGAATGGAATTTTATTTGCAATTAGTTACATATCATGGGTTCCTCGGTACAATTGAGAACGGCCTGATGGAATGCAATATCCTTCACTGCAACCCATGCATCACCCTTGCTCACTACCTCTTGGGATCAGAGGCTTCTGTGTTCAAATGCCAGTAGGTCCATTCAGCTTTTTCCTTTTGAAATTGATTAAAATGAGTCCCAAATTTATCCTCCTGTGTGAAATGTTATGATAAATTTGGGACTGTAACTCAGTTTCTCAGAGAGTTTACATCGAGTCAGCTTATGAATTGGAGATGCTTTCACACAGATTCAGGCATGTTATTCTGCTGTTTACAGAAGAGCTACGAGTGAGGGTTCATCTTTCAAATTTTTTGCAAGATCTTGTTTAGTAAAGTCTATTTGGTCTTTTGTATGAAATCTTTGATGTGGTGTCAGATGTTTGATTTAGTTCAAAGCTGAGCCACAGATACAACTCTTTCTGATTCATTTCCAAGCCTGAACGACTAGTCGTTCATTGCATTTTTCTGACAGTGGCAAAGGTCGGATTTTAAATAACCATTTAACTAGTCATGTTTTTGGTCCTGATTGGAGACTTAATTCAAAACTTTCCAGACAGGACTGACTTTTGATTTGTTAGCTGGATGGCTGACGTGTGTAAAATCTTCTTGGCACGCTTACCAGTCTCCAGTCTAGCTCCTGAGAACTCAAAGAAGCAGAATTTCTGATTGCCACTACTTCAGTATAGTTTCCCATCCACACCCACACACATTTGTTTGTTACCAATGAAGCAGGTTTGCATGTTGAAGCCAGTGTGCATGTTGTAATACCACTGAAATATAACCAGCTAAAACCATGGAGAATTGAGAAACAACCTACTGCTTATCCATCTGGCATACCCTACCCATTAATCTTGGCTTACAGGGATATCAAATGGCCAGTATCTTTCAGTGACGTTTAAGGCTGGTCAATCCTGGAGGGCAGTGGAGCTGACGGGCTTAGTTTTCAGATCATCGTGTCCACCACAGGGAGTTGTCTCAGTTTCACTCTCCTTTTGCCATGGAGCCTGCTTGTCACTAAAGAGATCCACCTCATTTCCCCAGGAGGATAGTTTCTGGCACCAGTTTGAAGATTAGAGTGTCGCAAAGTATGGATTGGTTTAGTGTAGATCAAGAGAATGACGAATATGTATTTATGAATTCTGATTTGTGAGTTCATATTACGTCTGGCATTGGGATTGATGGAGACTCCCCAGTGGACCAAATGCGTTAATACAAGACAAATTCTGGGGGGAAATCAATGATGGTATGAGGTTTTTGAAAGGAAAATTACCTTCTCAGAAGAATTGCACCCTTTTCAGCAGACCACAGGCAGCCTGACTCATTGAACAGACAGCTCCTTCCAGACCACTAGTGAGCACTGCATAGACAGCTTCCTCTGAGTCTAAACTGTTGGGATTGTTGTTAATAGCTTATGAATCAGGCATATTCTGTCTGAAACTCCTCCGTAGGTACACATTTTAAGCTGAATTTCTGAAACATTGACTATAGTGTGAGCCTGTTAGTGTGATGTGGAGGGTAACTTTCACAGCGCTCAGTCAGCAATTGGTGAGGCACTCCAGTGCCATTTCAGCACATTAACTCCTGGAACAAAGGGGTTCAGCTATGAGAGGGCTGGGTGTAAACTTGGGTTATTTTCCCCAGAGTTGAGGATAAATGGTGATCTGATAAAGGTTTGTAAAATATAAAGAGAATTGACAAACTAAACAGTGCTATCCACATATATTCTCTTTCCAGCATGGAATTACTGAACAGCAATCAGTTACATGAAATCTCTGTTATAGTTCCTCTAGCCAAGCATTGCTAAGGCTAAGTGCAGCAAGCTTATATTGGCTAACTCCCCACAGACTGGGATTTTCTAGGGGTTTACTCAGGCAGTTTACAGAATCAGTATTGTTGTTTCATTTGCAGTAGCTCAAGTGCACCACAACAGATACACAAAACACTCTCATGAATGGACTTGGTCTTTGCTAAAGCTCACAAAGTCTGGAGTGGTTGGAGGGTTAAAAAAAAATGCTGTGCAATAACTCTGATTTTCAATAGGTTTCAAATTCAGCTCAAATGAACTGTAAGCGTTGGGCCTCTCCAGCTTACCCTTTACCTGTCAGCCATGTCACGGAACAGAATGAGTTATTTGAGCAGCTGCTTTGATCAAGACCGTCCTGCTTTATGTATTTAATACACACCAGCTCACTTGCACTGCCCGTTCTGTTTAATGTATTTAATGCACAACAACCCGCTTGCTCTGCAAGCTGCAGTTCGTAAAACAGAGTGAACACTATCTCCAATATTGTACTTGAATGTTTGAGGCACAGTGACTGTATCTTTAACAAGTTACTGGATTAGAAAATAGCAACTTCAGGTTGCAGAATGATAATAAAGTGGAGCTGACAACCAGTTAGTTATTGCCCAAATGCCTTTTATTAATCTGATCTTAAAATGAGGCCTTTACTGAGGTCAGGCATAGTGAGTTTTCCAAAGAAGCTACCCTGAGGAATTTTAGTTAAAGAAATAGACAAAAGGATGTTAAAGTTAATGAGAATTCTTCTTAACCACAGTGTTTGACTTTTAAAAAGATAAAGTCCGACGAGCAGGACTTTATATTTAGTTAACAAATGGATGGGTTTCAATGGGGGTGTAAACTACTATGTGATAAGGAAGGGTGTCTTCATCCTCCAAGGTCTCTCCGCACCCTACCTGCAATCTTCTCGACCCCTACGTTCCTATCCATTATTGGAAGCCAAGACATATGTCATATGGAACTTTCTTAGACAACCGTTTTGCCTTGATACCTATCTCCCTGCCTTCAGAAATACCCTTTAAAAAGCTATCTCTTCAATCATTGTTATTCCATTGTCTGGCAGTGCACCACTAAATCAGTCAAGTTGTTGCTGAAGACAGTTTATTTGAACCAGTTTGTGCTCAACTGATGTGCACGATTAAATGTAATGTCCTTCAGGAGTTCCGAGTGAAACTTGAGGCTATTCAGGATGTGGCCAGCTCACTGAGGAAGCAGCTGGGAGACAGTGAGAGCGAACGAAGACTCCAGGAGCAGAAGATACTGAATCTGAAGGAGGAAGCTGAGGATTCAAAGCGAGCCAAGGAAGATGCTAAAAGGGATGCTCTCCGCTACAAATCCTCGCTGGAAATCATTGGAAGGTGCGATTTGCAATCTACTTGAATAAAGCAAATCTCACCTGGCATTTAGGGACAACTATACGTTGAGGTGATCCTTCTTAAATGAAGAGACTTAAAGGGTTTTTAAAGGGTTAAGGAACTAGAGATACTGGAAAAGGTTGCATTGATCAACCACCCTTAGCAGCCCAACAAAGACTGAAGCACCTATACTGCTCTGTGTAGTAATGTTATGGATGCCTGGAGTGGCATATTTCACCCTCTGAGCATGACTGAGTTTATGCATTTGAATCCAAAATTTGAACTAGACCAAGATTGAAGTAACCCCAAAGTTGTCTCTGGTGGCTCACAAATAAAATGGACCATTTTGATCCCAAGGGGAAATGGGCTTGGATATTTCCAATGCATTGCAACTCCCCCCCACCTCACTTCAGTCAGCTGTGTGAAACGCTTTGAGGCATCCTCCCAACATGAAAGGCGTAATATCAATGTAAATTGTAATTGCAATATGTAAGACCATTTCTTCCCTCATCAAATCAGTGGAAATGGATTTAAATGAAATAATGTATTAATTCTATAACAAAAAAATTGTTACTTTGATCATTGTAGTGAGTGAAGGAAATGGTTCCCGAGGGTTCTGTAACGTAGAGTGTATTAACATGGGTGAGAGTGCAATAACTTAATAGAGGATTACAATTCAGGCTGTATTTCCTCCCAATTGGTAATGACAAATCACAGTAAAATAAATCTTCTGGGAGATGGGTGTTGTATTGGATTAAGTATGTTGGCTCTTTGCCTCTGGGACCCGAGTTTGAATCCATCGCAGATTGATATATTGAGAATATTTCATGCATTTTTGGCTACAAGGCTGTTTGAATATTCTTAACCCGTTCCTTGTAGCTATAAACTACCCACACAAAAATGTCCTTAACTCAGCACTAAATTGGCATATGTACTTAAAGAGGCCATTCCTGCATTTGGGGGTTGGAGCAGTGCTAGGACTCTCCTTCTGAGATTTGGGCGGAATAGAAGGAGTTTTGCTCTACATATAACCAGACTACACTTGATCTGCAAATGCTTGATACTGAGAATGGGTGTTCACGATGGAGAAAATGTTCAATTTATTTCAACTAGAAATCAAAAGTCATCACAAAAGTTGGGGGAAAAAAATAAGTTTGACAGAGTGTCTGGCATAGTCTAAGACCAAACTTGGTAAGCTTGGTGTCTCTTTGTTTATGTTTCCCCAGAGAGCAATTTAATAATATTCAAAGAGTTCTGTACAGCTCTCCCCTTTTTTTAATCACCACCATCTCTGGTACATAAGAACTGCAGCTTTCATTGTAATATATTCTCATTACAAAGCTCCCTCTTAGATTCACTGTTTTTCTGGCCAACAATATATAGTCAACCAAACCTGGCTGTCCTCATTCATTCCATTTAATATGTGATGTACGTCACTTGTACAATTAATGACAGCTTAAACGTGCCAATAAAATCCATTCAAAAGATTACTTTCTGTTTTATGTGTATGTGATCCCTTTACTCTTATTCAGTGAGAAGGGTAACTTGGAGAAGCTGGCACACTCTCTAAACCAGCAGATTGATAACCTGCAGCAGGACGTGGAACATCTGAAAGCTATGAATGGAGACCTCCAGAGGCAGCACCAACATTTGGAAGATGAGAAGGAGGAAGTGAACAAAGACAAAGAGCGAGCCAAGAAAGAAATTGAAAGAAGGTGAGCTGGACAGCATGGGGTATCCAAACACCTGTTTGTTCAGCATTACACTAAATGGTTGAAATAGTGAGCACTGACTGAATAGAAGTGGAAAGGTTGGTTGGTTCTGTTAGTTCCGTTAGTTGGAGGAATGACGTAGGGATGTAGGAAAGGGGGCAATTTAGGATATAGTAAATAGGATGAGATGGTAGTGTGAGCTTAGTGCATCTGAAGTCTGGAGGAGGTGGATCAGGTCACAGAGAGACAGGAGAGCAGAAGCAGATGAGCAAAGGAAGGAAATAGTAAATCAGAAATGTTTCAAGCAAGACATTTTGAAACTCACTTTATTATTTATTTTACTCCTGACGAGACCCTTTTCTCAAGGTATGTTTGAGTTTAATGCTGTATGTTCTACTCTTGTGTATAAACCAGATAGGCATCTTTTTGTGGGCTACATTTTATGTATCATCTTCCAGGTGTGTGACAATATGATGAGTCCTACTCTCTCTCATGTAATAATAATCCTTGCATTTCATATAGCGCCTTAACATGTTTTTCAGTATTTCTCACAGCACTTCACAGAATATGCTGTAAAGTGAATTGATTGTATATTTTGTGGGTGAAACTATGTAGTAGGTAAATAGGAATGTGCCTGCAGGGTTTTTTTTAATGTAGATTGGTTTATTAGCTCTTGCACTTTTACAGGCAGAAGGCTTTAGAAATGATGGAAATGGAGAACTCTGCCCTGAAGAAGGAATTGGTTGGGTTGAAAGAAACCTTGAACAAAGCCACACTGGAGAAGGAAGTGCTGGAGAGTGAGAAAGCAGGCTTGACTGAGGCTCTCACCAAGGTATGTAATATGTGGGTCTGTCGAGAAAATCACAGACGCACAGAGCAGTTTGTTTTGTTCTTTTGCCTGAGTTGTGGGCACAGTGTCTGCCTGTAGGATAATGTTTCTCTCTCTTTCTCCTCTTTTTCTGATTTTCTGTTCTGGCAGGTGGAGTTGGCCAGTGCAGACCTGGAGCTGTCACTAAACAAATTGAAGAGTGAGGAGGAGGGCCTACAGGATTCCCTCAGCAAGATGAGCGCGCTCAACGAAGGCTTAGCTCAGGATAAGGTGGAGCTGAACCGTGCCATCCTCCAGGTGAGTTAACCAAACCAAGAGTTGAATGAGTCATTTCGAAATGGATTTGCTTAACCTAATTATAGCTGTTCTGCCTAAGCTTAGTTTCCTCGAGACAAAACAGTTACAGATTGTTCTGTCAATTGGCAGCGTAGAGGCAGATCCCAATAAAACGATCACATTCCTCGGAAATCCTTACAGTTTCTTACAAGCCACATGGTGTGAGTGCATCCATTGTAAATAAGGGCCTCTTCTGAATCACAGCAGGGTTCCTTTTATCCCATCACAATCAGACGTTCCTTCTCGCTGTGCTTTGTGCACTCATTTCTTATGAGATATTTGAATGGCGAAACTAAATGTTAAACAGCAGTTTGTTTAACTGCAGATGACCCAAGTTTTATATTGTTTTCGTTCTGAGAAGTTCCAGTTGTTAGTGGTTTGGCGGATCACTTTTCCAGGGGTAATAATTTCTTCCAAAAAAATAATCATTTGGTCACTTAATCCATGACTGTTTGTGAGGCACTGCTGTGCGCATTTGGCTGCCGCGTTTCACCCACAAAAGACACAGTTAATTCACTTTACAGTGTATTCTGTGAAGCACTTTGAGATGTATCAACAATCAAAGGCACTATGTCAAATGCAAGGATTATTATTATTATTATTTTGTTTCATACCACAACTCTCAAATTGGTGCTAAAACGTTGAGCTCCTACCAATTAGATCCATGTGTTCTGTGACAGATGGAAGCTGAAAAATCAGCACTGCAAGGACAGAAGAAAGAGGTCGAACAGGAGAAGGCCAAAATACGGGTAGTGTTGACCCGCGTGGAACAGGAGAAGATGGACCTCGACACAGAAAAACATGGTTTGGACCAGTCTCTGCAGATTGTGGAAGAGAGCCGGGAGAAGCTGGAGCAGGATCTGCTGATACTACGCAGAGAGAAAGCCCAGCTTCAGGATCAACTCGCACAGGTACAGAGGCTAGAAGATGGGTATTTATAGAAGTCTAGCGAGGAACAGCGTCTGTTTTGGGCTGTTGTTCCTCTCCCCCTGTAAAACAACATACCAACATGCTAACTGGGCTCACAAGTGAAGAACATCCATTTGGGTGAAATGTAGAAGGCACCCACACATCAATCTACAATCAGCATTATTCAGTACTTCCTAGTGTGAGGAAGGCAGAGTTGTCAAAATTTTAACAGGTAGGAGATTGTCCTTGAGAGTTGCCAGTGTTACAAGTAGAGGTGACTGGGAATTTGGAGGATCACAAGTTCCTTTAATTTACAACCCAAATAATTAATTTTTATCCGGACTTTGAACATTTCCTGGGCAGGTGAATCGCCAGAAACAGACTATGAGTGAGCAGTTGGTGCAGATCCAGCGGGAAGTGGAGATTCAGAGCGAGGGGATGCTTCGAGCCAGCAAGGAGAAGGAGGAGCTGATAAAGGATAAGGCCAACCTAGTGGTGCAGCTAACCTCTGCCGAGAGGGAGAGTAAAGCCCTGGCTGAGGAGGGGGCAGCTCTTAGGTAGGAGATCTCAAAATCAGAAACTTTTTCTACTCGTGACAGCACTTTATACCAAGCTCTCTGAAGGCTCTGGAGCATCTGTTGTCAGTGGCGTTTAATGTTCGATTGGTATTTTTATTACTTTTCAGGACACACCATGTTGGAGTGAGAAAGTAAAATTTATTATAGAAGTATCTACAACACTAAATGGAAGCGAGAAAATAAACTAAGGTCAATGCTTGTACATATGCCAAACCACAGGACAAGAGAGTACAAGTCCATGGTTGGGAAGGACAATTTCAGGATACCAGGAAATATTTCTTTATATAGACGATAATCAATATACGGAACAAATTGTCAGGAAGATTGATCGAGGCCAGGATACTGGACCTATTTAACAAACATCTAGATATTGTAATAATAAGAAAGTTTTCAGGAAGAATGAGGTCTCTTTCTCAACATATACACTTCTTGTGATTTGACATCAACTCCCTCACAACTGTGCCTTCCTCTGTTTTCGTTCTTTTGTTGGCCACAAAACTCCTGAATATCACTGATACAAAGTCTAAACATTTAAACTTTTAGCTGAGAACCACGTAACCATCGGTCAGCCCTTAGCATATCCCACATCAGATTTTGGGTACCTGTGATGAAGGGACATACAGATTATAGGGGTGGATTCACCTTTGTTGGAGGTGACACAGCACTGCGTAATGTGGCAATCGGACATTTTCCTCAGTTATGTATGTGGCCTATAAGATCTGGTGCAACAGAACAAGCCATCGCACTGATACGGATTTTCAATAGTAATCTATATGATCTTTCAGGGCAGATAAGGAAGCTTTGGAAACTAGCCTGTTTGAAGCTCAGCATCTCATCACGCAGTTGGAGACTCGTAAGGAACAACTAGAAGGAGAGAACCAGACCATTCTACTTGCTAAGGAGTCCCTTCTAGGTAGATGTGTATGTGTTTATATATGTACCTGCCAAACAGGGTTAAACTCTGAACCTTATTCTTTGAAATCTACAGTCAGATGTGTGTCAGGTGATGGAGATCATGCTTTACCCCTAATATACCTATAAACCCTTGGGAGGAGAACTACACCAGTCCACCCACTGTATCCAGTTACTAAACTAGAATTAATTTTGAATGCATCAGAATGTCTCTGTATCTGTGGCATTATTGGTGTCCTTGTGTGAATTTCTAGTGGAGGTTGACCACATGCGAAAGGAGATGGAGTTGCAACTAGGAACCGCTGAAAGAGACAAAGAGTTGTTGAAGCAGAAATTGGGGCAGGTGGAGCACGAGTCACAGATGGCCCTGAGAACAGAGCAGCGAGCTCACGAGGAGGACCTTGAACACCTGCAGAAAGAAAAGGTACGCAGTAGAGTGAGCCCAGTACCTGAAAAGAGCAGTGAATTCTAGGTCGGCACCACTTGACATAAGCGACTATCCCCCCACCCCATAGCACAAGATATCTGGATTGATTGGTTCTTGGCATGAAAAAAAATCTGATTTCTGCATTGATCTACCAGAATGTTTTTTGATGCCAATGGGTAAAGGGGTGTATGCTGTGAGACACTGATGATCTCTGCTAGAGGGATTTGAGGACTATTTCTAAACCAGAGTTCAAAGATGACAGCAGCATTTGAAAATAATGAGTCTTGGCAGATGTTTCCATTCTGTCCCGAGGCCATGAGCGGAGCCAGTTAATTTCATTTGTAAATGGCAAGGCACCCAACCCAATTGCCGATAGCTGTGCAGGAAATATACCAGACTCAGTGGGTTGCATCCACTAAGAAAAATTAAAGAATTGCTCCAGGGTAAGGCCATAAATGGCCCTATCCTCAAATTTATATGCCAAATGCTCTCCTATGACTAATATTAAAAATGAAGTTAATTTTGTGTTTAATGTCACTATGAGCGGGGATGTCACCTTCCCCTTGATAGAAGACTCAGGCACGGGAACAAGAAGGATTGTCTCCACTCTCAAAGCTGAGGGTTACTGGCAGAAGGGGCTCATTGCAGAGCATGTAACGTCAAACAAATGAGACTTTATCGTGGGATGTTCCCATTTCTCCTGTTTGTATTTGTGATTTCCAGAGTATAGATAGCAGGATAAGTCCCAATGCATGGAAGATCAGCAGATAAATACGAAAAGGCATATGGGCAGATCGATAGAATAACAGACATTTTTTGTCTGGACAGCAATAGTGCACAGTTAAAGGTAACCTGTAGGGATTTGTGGTGGACAGCTTATTGTTAATATAGACTCCATCACCAAGTTGCACTGTGAAAGTTGATTTAATCCCAGCCTCCTCAGCAAAAGCTGCCAACCCTGTCCACAGGAACATCTGCGCCAGGAGCTGACGGCAGAGAAGGATGAGATGATCCATCGCCTGCAGCAGGAGCGGGAGGAATTGGCCACCCGTTTCGAAGTGGAGAAAGAAGAAATGAATGAGCAAATCCTCAACCTTCAGCAGGACCGGGATGAGAGTCTGATTCAGGCAGAGAGCAACAAACAGCAGGTAAAAGAACCAGTTCAGGTTCTATAAGAGTCTGAAATTCCACGTAGCGTAGTGGCATTGGTGATTAATGATTATTGTGGAGAAGTCCCATTAGAGGCCAACTTCAGCAGTATCGCTACGTGTAACATTGACCACAGGTTCAGTCTTTAGATATTTAATGGAATTGAAGGGGTTTATGGTATGCGATGTTCAGGATGATGAGGGTTAAAGGAGCAGAGCTCTGCTGCTCCCCCACAGTGTTGGAAAGAATATTGGCCACACAACACTCCTTTTAAGTGAGTCCTGCAAGCTGTTCTCTGACTTGTGCTCCCGATCACACGGGGGAGGGGGAAAGAACAAAACATTAACTACAATGAGTTGCACAGATTGTTACAGCACGGAAACTGTGTGTCTTATTGCCAGACTTTTTTTGGTCAGCTGGATGTCTGAACATGCCTAAACCAATCACTGTTCTTGAGTAACCAAAAAGCCACCTACCTACACATGGAAATTTCCCAGTCTCTGGAATGGAATGTGCACCCATCCCCTGGAGAGACATACCTGTTTGTTAGAGTAGTAAATACAGGTTGGCAAAAGCAAAGAGCTAAGCCTTAGGGACCCCAGAGTGTTTATGGGGTTACAGCTGAAATTCTCAGTTTATATCTCTTAGCTCACCATTGAGAGCTTCGTCTGGTAAGCTTTTAGTTGCTTGGCCACCTAGGACCATTACCTGTTAGAGCTTTGGCTGGCTGAAAAGAATCGCTGGTCCGAGTGACTGTTCTGCCCTCCAAATCATGCCAAGCAGCCAAGCTGGCTGGTCGGACATCAGTTCCCTGGAACACTGCAGACCTCCCTGGCTCAGGAACCAAGATACTGAGACCACTACAGAAGATTGCCTTCATTCCCACATTCTGTCCCAAGCTCGTTATACTGGAGCCAGCTCAGCTTGAAGGAGACCCTGGTTAACTCCACAATCTACCCCCAAGAAGGATCGTCACTTGTCAGTCATCTGACATATGATAGGTGCAGGTTTGAACCCAGTTGGGGAGCAAGTACCAGAAACTCCCAGGAAGGTCCCTTGTGAGCAGCAGAGCTTAGCATAAAATGTGCCAGTCTTGAGCGAGGTCTTTGCCTGGTAAAGGAACATTCCAAGTTCCGGAGCTGCACATGGTTGTTTGCTGGCTATTGTGAGATTCATTGTTTAAAATATTCTGCAACTGATCGCTGCCAGAAACCCAAACCAATTCCAAAGCCTGCGATGCCAGATAGTGTTTAAGCAAGGCCAGTTGGTGCACTTTACCCGACCCCTAGAGAATTAATCAGGAACAGGGTCTGCATTTAACCATTGTAAACGCAACACAGATAAACAATTTAATTCCAGTTTCATTTAATCGCTTCAGATGATCAGCCGGCCAGCTCCCATAGGAATTGTTAATTCTCTGGATTCAGGCCAATGCCCTTAAAGGAATATTCCTGGGTAAATTGAAGCACTTAATCTGTGTCAGACCATCTTGCAGCACAAAATTCTGTCAGGGTCTTTCTCCTTTTGTGTTTAAAATAAAAATAAATGTTATAGGGAGACTGGGCAGCATTCTGAGTTATTATTGGTGCTTTTAGCTGAGTTTGACTCCAGCCTAGACTGATGGGCTGAAATTATTGACTGTGTGTGTCAGGGCTCCCCCTGTGTGAAATGATCTTGGTTAGTTGCAACCCATTTTCTGGAGGGCTCACTGGACAAAAGCCCTCTTAATAATGCATAATGTAAAAATCTTTCTCATAGAGGATACCCGGTGTGGAGAATGAAATAGTACAATTATGTAGGAAGGGTCCTTTATTGAGGTGCAATGGTGCATATGTTTGGATAAATTGGAAGGAACATTTTACAATTTGGCTAAATATTTTGTGTGTGCCCCAGCTGTGACCAATGTGAGTGCAGAGAGAGCCTAACTCTGAATCAAACTTGTGCTACAGCTGCCCTAAGAGTAATTGCTGGAACAATGCTCTGTTTCTAGCACGTACCATACCTGAGGAGCACCATGCTGAAATTGGATGTCTCAATAGGAAATGATTTAATTCCTGGTACAAAATAAATTAAGGAACTTCAAGTGTTCTTGATGCCATAGTGGAACGCACAATCAATTTTTGCCATGCCCGTCTCTGACAAACCAACCTCATTGCAATTCTTGAGTAAATTGTTTGTGTTTTAAGGCCTTGTCTTTCAAAGAGTCAGAAAAAAATATCCTGGCTGAAAAGCTCAGCCACATCCAACGGGAGTTCAGCAATTCTAACATGGAGATTGATCGCCTGAAACGAGAGTCTTTTAGCCGACAGGAACAGGATAGGGTAAGAATCGACCTGAGTGCACTCTCAGCTTTATTATTTACTTGTTGTTTCTTTCAGTTTTGTTTGTGAAGAGTTGTGCACGAGGCTAGAAGTTTGTGAGTTCGAATCCCACCCAGTGCTGAGCTAACTGATCTCGGTGTCCCTGGGTTAGGGAGAGGATAACCAGCTAGGGTTCCCATTCTTGATCTGCCACCCAGGAAGATGAATGTGTGTGGATGACAGTGAGAACAGGATTGGGCTTGATGATGATTGTCCACAATCAAGTAGCCTGTTAGCACTCACAGTCTTAACTCATACGTGAAGGGCAACCAATGAGTTTGGAAAGGACCTCAGTGAAAGCAAACGAGGGCCTTCATGGGAGAGAATAAACTCCGAGGAAAACCGCAAACATTTGTGAGCTGATTCTGATCAAAGAGCACTCATGTTATCATAAACAAATTGTGCAGAATATTATAAGAAAAAATGCATGATGTTGGATAGGAATCAGAATTTCTTTCAGGATAAAGTGTAAAATTTTAACATTGTCTTGTTTTATCCAGAATATCATTAACAGCATCAATGCTGAATTCAAGACCTTCCGAGGCCAGTTTGAGGAATCGGTGACCATCCATGAGAGAGAAATTAAGAGCCTCAATGAGCAGCTTAAAGTCTTGGCCCGTCAGAGAGAAGTGGCCCTCAGAGAGGTGGGTTTAGCTTCTCAGAGGGAGAGTTATATCTGACAAGTGGATTCAAGCAGCTTTGGTTCCCTGTTCGTTCGGACCATGGGGCATAGGAGGGTTTGTTCCACTGATTGCCAAGTGGGCAAAGGCATCGGCCAGAAGAATTTAAATTGTAGAGTTCATTGAGTATTCTGAAGTTTTGGTTGATTTACCTTTTGGCGGCTAGGAAAAACCTTTGCTGAGCCTTTCTCAGGAGATAAATGAGCTGAGTGTAATCGATGATGGAATGGGTAGTGCGTGATTTGTGGCAGGAAAAGGCTTGATGAGCCAAGCGCTGTTTGTGTTCTGTGCTTTCTTATGTTCTTCTGTGCTCATATTCCCTGCAGCCCATAGGGATAGGGTGTGCCCTTCACTTTGGCAGTCAATGATGGGGAGTGGGGGGGGTGGCGGGTTGAATGTGCACATATTCCCAGGAGCCCACATCGTTTCCTTCGCTGGCTTCAATTGTCACAATTGAATTTTGGGCTTGCAAAGGAGTTGAAACCAAACAGAGCATGTCTCTCTAACAAACCCTGTGGTGGAAAATAGTTTCCTGAATGAGCTTTACAGGCACGTTATCAATATTGATTGCAGATACTAACTTTATTTAGTAGGAACTCATTTTCAGGGCACGTCTCCCATTTTAACAAAGCGAACTGTTCCCTTGACAACCACGGTTGTACTGCAGGATTAATTTTTTCTGCCCTCATGCTGTTGCTAGACAACTCACATGTGTAGTAACAGTCCACCAAAATTATATGTTTTTTTTGTGATCTAGAACAGAACAATCCGATCAGCCAGCCCTTCTATTGTGATTTATGAATGCATTTTTGGGGTTGGCTTAAACCCCAGAGAAAGTAGACCTGCATTACACAGCACACAAATACTGCACCAAAGCTTAAATCACTGTGCCATGAGCTGGGCTTTCGTGATTTACACAAGAGATGCTCACCATTTATGCAGAAGACAATGATGTTTAAGGATTTACGTTTATATCGGATGCACACAATGGTTTCAGAATTGTTCAATAGATGAATTCCCTTTCCTGGATGGAACGGGAATTAGTCCATCGTACAGGAGACGTGCAAAGTTATTGATTGACAGGAATTGTATACCAGAATGAGACGTACAATTTTAAAGAAGCAACAACCTTCCCTTTCACTACCATTGTATAACATTTCAATGGACTAAATGCTATCTGCTCTGGTGCAGAGCTCCAGTGATCTGAATTGGTCTTCCAGTCATTCTGAATGTGCAGAATACCTGATCTGAGCATGAAACATCATCGAGTTATGTAATAATAATAATAATCCTTGCATTTGATATAGCGCTTTTCATGTCGGGAGGACGTCCCAAAGCGCTTCACAGAACACACTGTAAAGTGAATTGACTGTATATTTGTGGGCGAACGCAGCAGCCAATTGCGCACAGCAATGTCCCACAAACAGTCGTAGATTGAAAATGACCAATTTATTATTTTTTTTTTGGTTTTGGAGGGATTATTATTAGACATGTGGAATAAGGAAACTTGCCCAAGGTTTCGCCCTGCCTGGAATTGAACTCAGGTCTCTCGCTTGCAAAGCGAGTACTCTAACCATTGAGCTACAGGACTCCAAATGTAGCTATTAATGCGGGAGTAACAGTAAGGATTCACAACGGACTCCTAAGCATTGAGTCTTCATATTAATGGGGTGTATGTCACTTCCACCCACAGGAACACATTTAGTACACTGTTCCAAGAACAGTAGAATCAGAATCAGTTGAGAGGTAAAGGTATTAAATGACGTGGAGAAAAGGAGGTGAAATGGATTCAAGCTGGTGGCAAACTATTAAATATTCAAATGACTTGCTACTGTTCCTTTCCTCCAACACATTGGAGCCCCCACATCTCCTTTTCTGGTCAGTTTCCCCCCCGGCTGTGAGTTGACAGCCCAGAGTTAGTTACATTCTGGAGTTAAGGGAGAACACCTCAAAAAAAGCCCAATTCCACACCAGTCAGCAATCCCTGCAATTTACAAACCAACCCAACCAACAGCGCTGCCAATGAAGGGGTTAAAGGATTGGAGCTGATTGAAAAAGAAAACAAAGTGAGTTAAACCGTGACCGATTATTTATGTTGGCAAGACTTGTTTAATTTTGCTAGCCTCCAGGGTTGATGTATGGACCACACAAATTACTAGTTTCTGGTCAGCGATTAAAATCATTTGTGCGCACCGCGCCCCCCCCCCCCCCCTCCACACACACACACACCCACACGCCCCCATGCATTAAGTACATAAGTTAATCCCTTTATTTACTCTTTATTAGTTTATTATCTGAGAAATTGTTTGAGTGAAATTCATCCATTTCCACCCACAAAACCAAATCTGCTCGGCGCCAGCTGAGGCCCTACTTATCGTAAAGGGAACAATAAACTTTTTATAGCCCTTTAACACTGGGAATAATCTGCGAACACAGTATTTATTTTAAAAATGCAGAAAAGTGCTTGCAGCTGGTAAAGAAATGTCTCTGAGATGTCAAGCTATCGTAACCAGGCCAGAGATGTTTGGTGACTTGGGAGTTTGAAGCATGTGTGGTGTATCGAGTGGATTCAAATGAGAATGGATGAGCCAGGTTCATCTCTTTTTAAATCCTAGACCCCAGGCATGAACACTGGCAACTCATTTTCAAATGCCAGGCCATATTTGTCAGGCTTACAGCAGTTACCATGTGCTGATCAATGTTTGTGCGTTAGGAATGAACAAGTGTCAGACCTTGGCTTACTTACTGGAGCTAATGGTCAGAATTTCATTGATGTTCTCATGTCAGTTCTAAAGCCAACCATCCAACAGTGTCCTCATACTGACGGAAATTGGATTTTGCCACTGATGGAAAAATCACAATAATTCCAAGCAGTGAAATATTTGAGCTTTTTTAATTTTAACTTAAATTTAAGTTTTAACCAACTATCAGCACTTCATCTCCGCTAATGGTTTCTCCTCCCAATTCTGCCTAGTCACCTGCGGCATACCCCAAGGTTACATCCTCAGCCCCCTTCCTTTCCTCACTTACATGCTCCCTCTTGCGATGTCTTCCACAGACACAAGGTTAACTTCCACATATATGTCGATGACACTCAAATCTACTTCTCCTCCATCTGCGACTCCAGGTCTGCTGGTGTTTTATCAGCTTGATTCAGACATCAAGGCCTGGATGAGCACCAACTCTCTGCAGCTGAATGTTGACAAGGTGGAAGGCATACTCCTTGGCACCAGTCAACATCTTCTCATCTGCAGCTCCAACCTCAACTGAATCTGGCCTTTCTCTCAGACTTACTGAATCTGTGCGTAACCTAGGTGTCAGGTTTGATTCACAGATGTCCTCCCTAACCTACATCCGGTCCCTGACCAGGACTACTTTCCTCTGCTTCCATGACATTGTCCGCCTCTGACAGACCACACACCTTTATCTTCCTTCCCTCCCCCTCCCCACACACAGACATCAGCAGGTCTCTCCCGACAAACAAAGCTATCCAAAGTCTGCTTGATTGAGAATTGAACAATGAATGAAAGTTCATGTATCATTCTGAATCAGTACCAACTCAGTGACAAATCAATGTCATTAAACCATGAAAGCGCTTCGGATTGCTGATTCATGCTAGGATCCCTTACTCGGTAGACTGGGGATCGAACCTAAGACCTTTCGCATTAGTATAGCATAGTTTTACACAAGGTGCTGACTTTATTAGCTTAATCAGTGACTTTTCCAGCTAGGTCAACGTGGGATAGATGGGAAGTAGAGGAAATTCTACTTGTAGCTTAACTGCAATTTGGTTGAACTCGTGCAAAGAAACAACTGACTTTGCATTTTACCAAATGTCACTCTTACTCTTCTTTATCGCTCTTAAACAGGTGGAAGAGTTAAAGACCCAGCTTCGTATGGCAGAGGATGCTCGCGATGGAACCCGCCGGGACCTCACTGAAGCTCACAGGATGGTCCGAGAGATTGAGGAGGCTCAGGAGGTGCAACGGAAAGAGAACCTGGAGCTCAAGCGTGTTCTAAACGATGAAATCCGGGAGAAGGAAGCTATTCAGAATTTCAACGAAGAGCTCAGGAACAGCATTAAAAAGATTGAGAGTGAGAGAATCAGGTATTACACACATTGGAATGTCCCTCAGGAATAAATTCGCGAGCGTTCCCATATATATAACAAATACAGCTGTATCTGTTTCTGGGTATTTTGCTCCCACTTTAAATTCAAATTTCAAGTAATTACTGTCTAATTACTTGAAGTAATTAAAAGCTCAACCTCTGTAGCATTCTCTTCTTTCCTCTAACTGGAAAACTAAGAGAAATTGATGGTGAAAATGAAAAATCAGATAAGGAATAAAATGTGTGAGATTATAATCTCGTATAAACTGACTCCCAGTGAACAACCGAGTGTGTATTGGCTTGTCAGAAATCAAGAGCTTGTACTTGGGGAGCCAAGATCCTCTTGGAGACATTGGGAGTATTTTAAGATATAATTAATTACAGCATCCATGTCTGTTGCATTTGTCTGTTTTTACGAAGGCAGTAATTACTTTCACCCATGTTGGCAGAATAGGATTGGTACATAAAATACCAGTCTAAAGTGGAAGCTATTTGTTGAGTCATTTTCTGGGTCTACAGCTTAAAGAGGACGAATGAAGAGAAGGATCAGAAGATCAGCATCCTGGATGAAGCTAAGGGTGCAGTTCAGAAAGAGGCAGGTGACCTGCGTGCAAATCTCAGAGAGGTGGAAAAATCCAGGTTGGAGGCTAGGAGAGAGCTGCAGGATGTTCGACGACAGGTGAGCATGAAAAACGCTAAGTATGTTCCTGTAGCAGTCAAACACTGCAACATTTAACCCTCCACTGTGGATTCAAGCCCTTCATCAGGAACATTGCAACTGAACACATAGTCCAGACTGACTCTCCAATGCAGTGCTATGAGAACATTGCATTGTTAGAGGTTTTGTCCTCTAGATCAGACGTTAATTAATATAAGGTCTCATCTGCCTGTTCAGGTGGACGTTAAAAGATCCCATGGTATTATTCAAAAAGGGAAGCGAGCTTCTCCTGGTCCAGGCCAACAATCTCCCAGATTAAACAAAATTAGTAATGCTTTTAGTGACTGTTTGTAGGACATTGCTCTTTGCAAATTGGCTACTGCTTTGGCCGTCAGATACACAATTAATACAATGTACAGAAGAGTCTGAAGCTGTTGTAGACATTTTGACATTTAATTCCTTAAATATACGCTGATATTTAATATTTAACTCGCGGAAGGGGTGGGCCTTCCGCCCTCACCCTTTGGAACTCCATCCCGCAGTACCTCTGTCTCGCCCCCTCCCTCACTACCTTCAAGACCCATAATAATAATACTTGCATTTGATATAGCGCTTTTCACGTCGGGAGGACGTCCCAAAGCGCTTCTCAGAATATACTGTAAAGTGAATTGACTGTATATTTGGGGGCAAATGTGGCAGCCAATTGCACACAGCAATGTCCTACAAACAGTCGTAGATTGAAAATGACCAATTTATTATTGTTTTCGGTTTTGGAGGGATTATTATTAGGCTCTGTGTGGAGTAAGGAAACTTGCCCAAGGTTTTGCCCTCTGCCTGGAATTGAACTCAGGTCTCTCGCTTGCAAAGCGAGTGCTCTAACCACTGAGCTACAGGACTCCACATCTCAATACCCTCCTCTTCGACCGTGCTTGTTGATGATGTTGAGCACGGTTCAACGTCAAGTAAGGTTGAAAGCTGTTTTCGGTATATATAAACCACCACAACTTGTTGCCAGATAAACAGGAAATGTCTCTTTGTTATGTTATGCTAAATCAATTGAAAGATTTTGGTGAAAGAATGTGGCTCACCACAATTCACAAGTTAGACTGTTACCAGGCTCAGGAGGCTATACAGTGTTTAGAAAAGCTTAAGAAAGATTCAATGTGCCTGAAATTACTCCCCCTCACTGTGGAAGGATTTCCAAAACTGCACAATAAATTCAAATTAAATGCGATTGAATGAATGCAACTGTGAGCAAGAGTCTGAGATTTAGGAGTTTCTTGTCTCTCATAAACAATAGTTAAACAGGAACATGAGCACCCAAAGTCTCAGCCTTCAGTAACAGTGCCGTAATAATGTATTTTGAGCCTCCAGGAAACTGGCAACCCAAGTTGTCAGTCTTACTGTTGCTCTTGACTGTCGTTCCTTCTCACAGGTGAAGATGTTGGACAGCGAGAACAATAAGAAGAGCAAGGAGTTGGTGGAGCTGCAGGCCCACATGGCACTGGAGAAGCAGCGCGAGGAGGAGAACAGGAGGGAATCCTTCAGCCTCAAACAAAAAATCGTGGAGGCTGAGGCCAGCCGGGAATTGGCTCGCAAAGAGGCAAGAGTTGTTACGTGCTTCAGGATTGCTCATTGATGAAGCAGCAGCTTTATCACTAAACTATGGCAGCTTTCAAAGTGGCAATGCAAGTTTTACAATTGTTCTGCAATTTACCAGAACAGGGGGACTTGGAGCTGTAAGAAAGAGCTGAACTGAACTAATAGCAACATTTCAATAGGCTTTTAAGGTGTAGATAGATGTTCAAGGCAGTAACTTAAGTTGGTACAATTTCTATTACAGGGTCATGTACAACGTTCAACTCTGGTTCTCGGACTGAGCTTTCTCAGCTGCGTCTTAGTATTAATGTAATAAAATACAGATGAACTGAGAGGTGTCAGATTGTTGCACCCCATGATGATAATAATAATAATCCTTGCATTTGATACAGTGCTTTTTACGTCTTCTGGATGTCTCAAAGCGCTTCACTGTAAATTGAATTGACCGTATATTTGTGATAGGATAGGATAAGTATAAACAGAGAAGAAGTACTGAAAGGTTGACTGGGCTGAAGGTAGATAAGTCACCTGGTCCGGACGGGATGCAGCCAAGAGTACTATGGGAGGCAAGGGTACAAATAGCGGAGGCTTTGGCTACAATTTTTCAATCTTCGTTGGACACAGGGGTGGTGCCAGAGGACTGGAGAATGGCCAATGTTACTCCCCTGTACAAAAAGGGACAGAAGGACAAACCTGGGAACTACAGGCCAGTCAGCCTAACATCAATAGTGGGGAAACTCCTGGAGATTATAATCCGGGACAGAATAAATCTTCACTTAGAAGAATATGGGTTAATTAGGGACAGCCATCACGGATTTGTTAAAGGCAAATCTTGTCTAACAAATCTAATAGAATTTTTTGATGAGGTAACGGAGAGGGTGGATAAAGGTAGTGCAGTTGATGTAGTTTATATGGACTTTCAAAAGGCATTTGACAAAGTGCCACATGAAAGACTTGTAAGAAAGATAGAAGCCCATGGTATAAAAGAGACAGCGGCAGCATCGATCCAGAACTGGCTGGGAGACAAAAAACAGAGAGTTGTGGTGAATGGCTGCTTTTCTGACTGGAGGCAAGTGTACAGTGGCGTCCCCCAGGGATCGGTATCAGGACCACTGCTCTTATTATACATAAATGATCTGGACTTGGGTATAGCAAGTACCATTTCCAAGTTTGTGGACGACACAAAGTTAGGTAGGGTGGTAAACAGTGAGAAGGATAGTAGCCAACTGCAAGAAGACATGGACAGAATGGTAAAATGGGCAGAGACATGGCAGATGAATTTCAATGTGGAGAAATGTGAGGTAATGCATTTTGGTAGAAAGAATGAAGGGAGGCAATATAGGCTGGTAATACAATCTTAAGGGGGGGTGAAAGAACAGAGAGACCTGGGGGCTCAGGTAAATGAATCCTTGAAGGTGGCAGGACAGGTAGATAAAGCTGTAAAAGGGGCATATGGGATACTAGGCTTTATAAATAGGGGCAAAGAGTACAAGAGTCAGGAGGTTATGATTAACCTATATAAAACACTGGTTAGGCCTCAGTTAGAATATTGCGCCCAGTTCTGGGCACCACACTATAGGAAGGATGTTAAGGCATTGGAAAAGGTGAGGAGGAGATTTACAAGAGTGGTACCAGGAATGAGGGTCCTTGATTATGAGGAAAGGCTCGGATTATTCTCATTGGAGCAGAGAAGGTTACGAGGAGACCTAATAGAGGTCTTCAAAATCATGAGGGGATTTGATAGGTTAGAAGGGGAAAAACTGTTTCCACTGGTGGGTGTGTCAGTGACTCAAGGTCACAGATTTAAAATAGTCTCTAAAAGAAGCAGAGAGGAGGTGAGAAGAAATTTTTTTCACGCAACAAGTTGTTCGAATCTGGAACGCATTGCCTGAAAGGGTGGTCAAGGCTGATTCGATAACTACTTTTAAAAACGCGGTGGACGGTTATTTGAGGAGGACGGGTTTGCAGGGTTATGGGGAAAGGGCTGGGGAGTGGGATTGACATACCATTGCTCTTTCCAAAGAGCCGGCGCAGACTTGATGGGCCGAATGGCCTCTTTTTGCGCTGTACGATTCTATGATATGACTCTATGAAGCCTACACTGAGGTTATAATTGAAGCGCTTGTGTTTTTTGTCTCACTTAGATTACAAGTCTTCAGAGGAAGCTGTCAGACATGGACAGTGAGCTGCGAGCACGGGAGAAGGAACTGGCTGACCAATTAGAGGATTGGCAAGCCAAGGAGAAGAAACTCCTGGGCACCAGCCACAGTGCAGAAGCGAAGCTGCACCAGGCCAGGGAAGAGACAGATGAGGTGAAGCTGAAGCTCAGTGCTGCTGATGGACGCATAATTGGACTCGAGGAGAAATTAGCCAGAGTGGAGGGTGCCAAGAGGGAGACTGAGGTCAAACTAGGTAGCCTGTACTCTGCTCTACGCAGGACGCTGGGAATCACCCGCATTGGACGAACTCAGAGCCCAGGATTGTCCCGCCGCAGTCCATCTCCAAGAAGACCTCGCTCTCCCACTAAAGGTACGCCTGAACTTAAGGAATGATCTAAACCATGGGATTTGCAACTACTCTGTTAAATCTGCTAGACTTGTAGTACAAATGATCCTTTCCCTTTTCATTCGTTCTTAAATTAGCTGCATCACAGAGAGAGAGAGAGAAAGACAGAGAGGAGACTTTCAGTTCTTTAATCTAGGCTGGTTCAGACTCTGATCCGAGAGGTGTAAGGACAGTATTAACTCATTGCACATCCAGGCTCCAATGGAAAATGACACATCAGATTAGATCCGAGCTGTGAGATGTTAGTTCAACGCATGCCATCCAGCCATCATCTCATTTTAACCCCCACGATCAGAGATTTTCATCCTGTCAATGTGCTGTTATCAATCTGAAATGGTTGAATCCAAGTTCCATTCTAAACATGATTCATTTTAATTTTTTTCCTGTTGTGTGACCAGGTTTTGACAACACTTTCACCACAACCACAGATGGCCGTGGCAGCCCAATCCCACTCACCGGATCTCCTGACAGAAGTCGCTCAAGATCTCCTTACCGTCCCAGCTCACCTTCCCGCGGGGAGCAGAGCGTGGCAGATATTGACCCAGACGTTGTACGAGCTGCGCTTCGAGACTTCCTGCAGGAGCTTCATGACGCACAGAGGGACAGGGTAAAGTTTCCAATGGTTTTACATGGTGTAAACATGAGCCCAATGACTGTATGGTTTGATACAATGTATTTGTGAGCCCATTGACCACATAGTTTTTATATGTCGTAAACGTGAGCCCAATGACCACTTGGCTTTACAAGGTGTAAGCTTGAGCTTATTCACCAGATATTGAAGATGAGTGAAAGCATCTTTAAAAATGAAACACTCCAAATCCCAATGTGGAGTCTTGAGCACATATTCTTATAGTACTTAAACCCACAACCATCTGACCCAGAGGTGAGAATGCCACACTAAAAATATAGATAAGATGTCTGACCAAATATCCATCACAAGCCATTGTGAGTGAGTTTGTTTTGCCCAGAAGGGAGCTTGTATTTACAGAAGAGCCACCCCTGGCGGCTCTCACCCCTCCTAACAGTTGTTTTACACAGGCGACATAGGCAAACACCTGGGAGAGTTCGTTCACCCAAGATTTGTGGTCCCCAAAGAAAGTAACCGATGAGTGAAACCGACGTGATCTTCAAAGAATTCTAATACACGGCCTGGGGTGGAGGAAGGGGTACACAGAGGAAGCTCTTGCCTCTTTGTTACACTACTATTCATGGCTATTTACTTTGTCACTAAGGCTCGATCTGTAAATTCTGGTTTAATATATCACCAGACAGCAATGAAAGTTACCCACTGAATGGGATTCTGCCCCATCTAAGCCATTGTGCACAACAGTCGGGCTCTGTGCCACAATTGGGAAATGTGATTAATAACAGAGATTCAGAAAACTTTCCTTGTTCCTTCCGTCTTTAGGATGAAGTTCATATTCAGGGCGTGAACCTGGCACGACAGCTGGCAGAGACTGAGGCAGACCGTGACCGGACCAACACTCGGATACAGCAACTCCAGAAATCCTTAGCTGAGACAGAGGAAGGTTAGTTCTGAACATTGAGTTTATTACCTGTTGGTGGCAGACAACACACAATATCTGAGCAAACTGTCATTGATCTCACATTATTCTTACATGTGATTTTTGTATGGGTTCTCAGTTCCATTTTCTTGGCTTTTGCCAAAATTTGAGATGCTGCCCAAAGGAAACAAAGTTATTGCCAACATGGCTTGCCCACTGTAACTGCGCTTCTCTGCTATGGTGGGTTCACAGTCAATCAGCATTCACGCTGTTATTCCTTTATTGTCAGTAAAACTTGTGACCTTGTATATTGTCTTCCCTGGTCTCTGCCACTGTGAGCTTGTCATGGGATTTTCATGAATTTTATGAGATTTTTCTGCTGAGTCCCCTTACTGACTAACTCAGCCGCTCATCTTGCATTGAAGCATCTGTGAATGAATAACTGGCCAGAGTTCAGAGGCTTCCTACTGTCTGACCCCTTGAGGTGCAATTTGTGTTGAGTCACACAATGAGTAAATGGGTTGAAGTGGAATGTTAGCAGACCCTTGTTCTTGACGTGGCGTAGGATTTGTTGAAAGGAACAGAGATTTGAAAAGATTCTAATATTACAAAGCTTCTCCAAAAAAACCTAGAGTCATATCGAGCTATTGGAATCTATGGGGAATTTGTGTGCAGCTGTCAAATTCAAACTAACAGGGTAAGAGTGGGCGTCCAACCTCACATGTGACAGCTCTGGAACTTTCATCTGGTCCAATTCCTCTGCAATCAAGTTGGCTCCTTGAGAAATCAGTCACAGCATCTTCTCAATGTATAACACTGCGGTTCTAAAGGAGACTATTCTTTACCCACGATACCCTTTACATTTCAAGGATACATCTGTATGCTGGCTCATCTCTCAATCCCTCCCTATAGGAGATGCTGTATAGCTGTACATTGGCTAGGGTTAGTCTCTCCAAGGTGGAGGGGGTGGGGGGTGCTATCTGTAGATTGATTGGCATTGCTTAATCAGCAAGCCATCTGTACACTGACTTGAGTTTTGTTACCCTCTTGGGGGAGTGGATATTGATACCAATGTTAAATCAGCTCTGTGTGCTTGGGGGATGGAAGCTCATGAGGAGTATAAACACCATCATGGACTAGGTGGACTTTTTGGACGCTATGATGTTCTATATAATTATATGAAATCTGATGATCGCACAAACCTTTAGGATTCTTTTTTAAAAAGGTAAGCGTGGGGTGGATGGACGGCTCAATAATGCCCAAACTGCACTCATGCTGCAAGAAGAAACAATAAGACGAGGAGAGAGAGACCGGAAGGCCCTGGTTGAACAGATGACTGCATTGGAACGCAGCTTACAAACATCAGAAAGTGAGAAGAGAGCCCATCAGGTAACTTGATTTTTTGGGGGTGACTTAGTGTGCATTTTATGGTGAAGCAGTTTAATACAGCTTCTAGAATACTCGAGGTCAGACCCCGAAAACTAGAACACAACTCTACTGATATTGTTCAAAGCTTTACATACACCGGTCAGACCAAAACTCAATTTTGGGCATCAATCCAGAAAATTGAATAAGTCTGAAATATAAGGGAGGTGATACGTGGGAAAAAAAATTAGAGAAATTTGAGCTTTACAATCTGGAAAGAAGGTGATTGTTTGCCTCTTACAGGAGAAGATGAATAAGATGAAGGCCAATGAAGCCAAGCTGGAGGCAGACAAGAGGAAGTTGAAGGAAGTCCTGGAAGTATCTGAGACCCGAGTGACCAAGCTCGAGCTGCTACGCCGCTCTCTGGAGGGAGAGCTGCAGCGGGTGCAGTTGACGATGAACGACCGTGAGACTGAGATCTGTATCCTGCAGGACCGAACTGAGACACTCCAGCGGCAAGTGGCAGACACAGAGACGAAGGCCACCTCCCTCCAGTTGACCATTGACCGTCTGTCTGCAGCCCTGGCCAAGACCGAGGAAGCTGAGAGCCAGCTGAAGGACAAGGTGCAGATTCTGTCGCTGTCCCTCTCAGACACAACCTCCAGTGCCTCTGTGCTCCAGGAACAGATTTCACCATTGCAGAAAGCCTTAAAGTCCAGCGAGCAGGACAGACGAGTGTTGCAGGTAAAACACTGAACAGTTAGTGTTGCTGCATCTCTGACCAAGTAACACATTTCAGGATAACAACCCATTCAGTTGTTGATTACCGAAATCCAAGGTCAACTATTGAAATGTAAACCCGTTCATAGTTTCAGCTCTGTACAGTCTTGGTTTAAGCAGTTGACTGTTCGTGTTAATTATTTTTCCCCATTCATTGACCCTTGACTTGTCAATGATTAAAGTGGGCTACAGAGGGCACAATGAGGATGAGGGTGAGAGTGATTGAAGAGTGAAGAGTGAAAGGAAAACTGACAAACAACAGATAAAGAGGGGAGTGGGGGGCACGGTTGGTCAGCAAATGTGACTGAGGAGCCTGGCAAGAAGCAAGGACAATTGCCTTTCCAGAGCCATATTTTTAATACAAGATTTGGCAACCATATATTGGTCGTTTAATGTGATTGTCTCCATTTCAGTCTCTGGCAGCTCATTGTTCTGCCTCACTGCTATATCTGACCCCGTCAGACCACCAGAGATGTCTTTTATTCCTGGTTAGGAGTCCATTCCTTTTAAAGTCAAACAGCCATTGACAAATAAAGGGTTAAGTTAACCAATTGTTTTGAACCACTTATGAACCACTTTTGAACCAGCGCCTTGGGACGTCCTCCTGACGTGAAAGGCGCTCTATAAATGGAATCTTGTTGTTATTTGCATGCAGGCAGAGTACGAATATTTCTTTCAACCCAGCCTTGTGATCTTGGGTGGGTCAGTGATCGAATTTTCAAGTATTATTTGAGATCGCTGCACGTTTTCACATCTTACTTTTTATGAACAAGTGTGGACGATACCAGGGAAAAGTGCTTGGGGTTGTTTAGATATTGTGTAAAATGAGCGATGCTCAAAATCAGTCTGAGGAGGGGGAGGGGCAAGGAAAGTGAGTGAGAGAGTGCAACAATAACAAATCTGAAAGGCCCCTGATGTGTGGACAGACAGCAGCAGCAGTCTTCATCTCGCTGTGTGTGGTGTCTTTGACATGGTACAAAGCCGAGGCTGACTCCTCTATGGTGCTGTTATCTATGCTGAGGCAGGGAGAGAGCTTTTGTATGTTTGTTTTGGCGGAGGGCCAATGTACCCAAAGCACTAATAATCCTAACGGAATGTTTGCTTAATAGAGAGCTGCCTCAAAGGTGTTTGTGGGCCAGTGGAGGTCTCTGCCTTCAGCAGTTGGCATCTTTCACTCAAGAAGCTTTCTTTAACTCCTTTGTTGCTGAATCATGCATAGAAGTCAGTTGTCTTTCTCTCCCCCACCCCCATTCCACATTGTATTAAACAGGAAACTTGCTGCTGTATAGACTCCGCAAGAGTATGATTGACCCAGAACTTAGGAATATGTTACGGATGGCACATGGCAATCAAACTGATGCAGACACTACTATGGTAGTTAGTGACACTTATCGTACCCATTTTTATGTATTTTGAGTGCGGCACATCTTATTGTAGGATATTTATAGCAAAGGAGGCCATTCACTCACTTTGTCTAGGTTAGTGGTACCTACTGTAACTGTCATGAATTTATCCAATGTCCTGGCTAGCAGTTCTCCATATGAATTTTATCTCATAGTTATTTGTGGGATCTTGCCAGCACAAATGGTTGCAGCATTTGTCTGCTGAAACAGTCACTGCACATGATGTGAACTACTTGTGAAGCACTTTGAGACATTTCAACAGGTTAAGTGCATGTTCTTGCTTTCCCTGGTACAGGAGCGCCTGGACTCACTGCGCCAGGGTCTCTCAGACACCAAAAAGCAAAATCATTCCTTGGTGGAGCGTGTGCAACTCTTGCAGAATGATCAGGCAAATCTGGAGCTGCGCCAAATGGAGTTGGAGGGAAAGAATCGACAGCTACAGGAAGTAAGCAGTATGAACCAGGGTTTTTATGGATCAGAGATCAGATCATAACTGGTTTGGAAAATGTCACAATGGTGCAGTGGAGAATGTGTTTCTGAGATTTGGGGATGTTGGGTCAAAGTTACAAACTTTATTCAGCATCAGGCAGTGCTATACCTAGCCAGAGTTTTTAACGCTGACACTTAATGCCTAAAAGGGATGGTGTTCCATTTCCCAGTGCCAGTGAGCTTGCCCTGATGTGCACAAAATTCACCAAATTTTTTTAAAAAAGAAATGCAAAGATCTGAAGGAAAGTGTGCGTGTGAACGTTGTGGGACTTGGTTTCAGTGAAAGTGAGTCTGTGGTAAATTTGCTTTCAATTTTGAGTATTCTCAAGTCTACTTTTATCACTCCTCGGAGCTGGACTCCTGTCACTGTTATTCTAAAACTGTTTGTTCCATCCCTGCCGTCAGTTTATAAAATGCACTGGAGACTACTTTCTGGAATGGACACAAATTGGAATCTGGCAGAGATAAATGGCAGCTTTCTGGTGTGAGCGGAGCCAAACCTTCCTGGAAATACAGCCTGGATGGATATCATAGTTACATTTTTGATTGAATTTCTCCAAGAGAGCTCCAATTGAGTCTCCCTCAATGTTTTTTTCATGCATGAATTAGGATTAATATTTTAATAAAAACTCAGGAAATATAGATTGCAATATTTTTTTTCAGTTTTAAGTAAACTTTCCCAGAACAGTGTCACACAGTGCAGTCTGTTCTAAGTCATTCTGTTTAGCTTGATTTCTCTCGTTCCCCGTGCCCCCCATACAAACATACACACACATGCATGCACACACAATCCCACTTTTTGTTATTAGGTAGTGTATTGGAGGGTGGAACAGTAGAGTGCTGTAACAAGGACAGTACCTAATGGATTAACCCTTTGTTGGCTAATAGGAGCAGGAAAGCCAAGGAGAGGTGGCCTGGGATACTAATGAGCAAGTCAGAGATTTCTAAGTTCATAGGTTTGATGGAAAAAAAATAGCATTTAATCTTATTCATGTAAAAGAGAAATTTTCACAGATAATGACTGAACTAGAGAGAGACTTCCACATGCAAGTCCATGTAAGTGCAAGAGATGTGGTGTGAAATGTAGAGATCTATGGATGTCCACAACCAATTCAATCTTGTCTATCCTGCTGTCTGATTTTTGTGAGGGGATTTATTGAAGGCAGAATAAAATGGGCGAAACCCCTTATTAGGAAGATAGAGAGAGCCCAAGTTCCTACCAGTGTCTCTTCATAGGATAACCCTAGAGACAGCTAATAATATCAGTGAGATCCTGTCCCTTAAATCCATCACCAGAGCAATTGTATGGGAAGAGAAAAAACATGACGGGTTGCCATAAAATATGGAATGAGGAAAAAATATCAGGTCCATTCCTTCCACAAAACTCACTCTGTTGCAGACTCTAGCGTACAAATCTATGGATAGTTCTGCATGGATATACCATTCCCCGGAACTCCATCCCTTTGCCTTGCCTTTCCCTCATCTCCTTCAAGGTATATCTCAAGACCTTCCTCTTTCGCCATGTCTTTGGTCATCTTCCCACTTCCACACCTCCCGAATCCAATCCCCAGTTTGGGTGCAAACCATCTATTGTCCAGCGCCTTGGGTGTCCTCTGACATGAAAAATACTAAATAAATGCAATTTTTTGTTTTTTTCCAATCAAGATAGAACTACAGAATATTGACTCAGTCCCAAATCTAGTACTTATTTCTGCATGCTTTCATTAACAAACATTCCCTGATTCACTTCATGGCTGTTTGTTGGACATTGCTGTGCGTAAGTTGAATGCCAAGTTCTCCCACAACGCACAATCACAGTAGTTTACATTATATCCTGTGAAGCGCTTTGAGGCGTCCTCCCAACATGAAAGGTGCTGTACCAAACAAGGATTATATATTAATATTATTTTGCAGACTTAGCTATACAAAAAAGATCATGTTCCATAGAGAATTTGTACATCTTATCCTATACCTATCTCTGACTCCTGATCCTGTCTTCCAGCAGATACCTATCCTTTTATGGAGTTGATTGGCACCGTTCCTTTGTTGGAGAGTCTGTTTCATACACAGTGTCAACCTTTCTTCAGTCCTGTTAGCACCCAGAACAGGTCCAATTGGCTTCTTGCCATCCTTTCTCTATCCTCAGTCTGGCTTGAGGCTCAATGCAACTGAAATAGTTGAAAGGTGAATGACTGTGCGCTCACCCTCCAACCTGCACCTCACCTACACACACCCCTCCCCGCCCTCTCCCCCCACTCCCGCTACCTTCTTCTAATGTTCCTTTTTCATGACTCTCAAATATCCAGCTGTTACATCAACGGCAAGAGAGTCAGGCGGAGGCCGTGAAACACGTAGAGAAGCTTCAACAAGAAAAGTACATTTTCCAGGAGCGAGTGACTGGTTTACAGAGAGCTATCGCTCAGCTGGAGAATGAAAAACGGGAGTTTGAGCGCTCAAGAAGCCGTCTTGAAAAGGACAAATCTGCTCTAAAGAAAACATTAGATAAGGTGAGGGGGCGTTCAGTAATGTTAAGCTGGTTGATCTCTTTTTGAACCTTAACTTGCTGGCAGAGGTTAATATTGGAATATAAGTGGTTGTAACCATTATGGCTGTAGGTCATTTGAGTTTGACTATTTTGTCTGTGACAAACGCATCATAGTCTCTGTCCATTGCATGGATCTCAACCAATTGGAAAATTGAACAGTTCCTTTACCCATCTTAAATTTGGCAATGATCAATAGTATTATAACAGAGGATGAGTTGAATGTGCCAATTGTTTCCTCAGATGTGTTAATGAAAGCAGAATGTGAGGGTGGAACTATAATAAGACAACACTGGGGCAATGCAGAGAACAGTGCAAGATAAGACTGGATCTTCTATCTATTGGGAAGTGTATGCTTAGGCATTTAAGAGGAGTGGAAGTCAATTTATAAACTTTCACAGAGTAATCTGGAAGGAAGTTCTGAACTTTACCTGCACTATGTTCTTTTATGTTTTCTGGGAATGATGAAACTCTTTAAATTGCATGTGCATGTCAAGGTTGTGTACTTTACTCCTCCATTATTATATAAGATTTATAAAACATTGCACATCTATTACTGGTGGCTTCATTGCCCACTTCTAATTTGTATTGAAACCCAAAGGACTAAACCTTTCTCTTTCACTTCCATTGCATAGTGTTCTAACAAACAGAACCCTTTCCCATTGAGTCCCATTGTGCAGAATCCTAATCAAAGTGTGAAAAGTTCTCTAACTGTCTTGTTTTTCATTTCCACTTTACACAGTTGCAATTTACTTGGAGATGGAACATTTCTATAAACTAATCCCTGTTGTGTGAATTAGCTTTTCATGAAGTGTTTTGTGTTTTTGTTGGGGTATAACAAACTGAATGGATGATGACCAGGGCTGTGGTGTAAATGGTTGCCAATTGGCAGTGATCTGACTCCAGTTTATGGGAATCCTGACGCAAGCGGAGACTTCTTGGCAATCACATTCTGTTTAGTAGAGTTCTGCTGTACAGCTAGGAGGCCTGAATCAGCAAAAGAATATCACAAACATTCGCTTTTTCTATTGTTGAGAAGCAACTGAATGGTGTGTGGGCTGACCAGTGCAGTGATATATTTTTATAGTCAAGTGATGGCACTGGTGGAAGTTCTGAATGGGGGGCCACCCTGCTTTGTTTAAAGAATGAGGTTTACTAACAGGACCTTTCAAGGAAAGAAATGAACTTTTACTACAGATTCCAATTAATTTTAACATTTATGTTTTCCCTCTACTTTTGACAGTAATTGAGCCTTGCACTCCAAGGGAACTGAATCAGCATTGGTAGATGTAAAACCACCATGCAGGGTAACTGAGCTGTTGCATCATTTTTTTAACTGAGTGCTTCAATAAAGCTCCCTCATATTCTTGGATTTATCAAGTTTTCCCCAAGTCAGTTTCTGTAATGTGTCATAATCGCCCTCTAGTTCATTTTTTTCTGAAGAACCAAACCATATGCATATGTGGCACATCTATCAGTGCAAGCCTGTCATTGAAATTATTCATTCGCAATAGAAACATTTCAGTGCCACCCGGAACTCACATCTCAAGTAATTCTTCAAACGCAAGCATTCAAAAAAGCAACAGAAATAGATTGGTAACCCCTCAAAGGATCTTAACGTTAATCATAGTGCTTTGTAACCATTTGCCTTTTTGAAAAGGATTATTGACGGTGAGACATCATGGTTAAACAGACTGCTTCCATTGTAAGAATGTGAAATATGGAACAGGGCAAGTCATTCGGGTGATCGAGCCCAGTCTTTACAATTTACTCTGTATAATTAGCACTGATGTGGACTCAATCCAACTTATTAAATCTCCTGAGAGAGGTGATTAACCACAGGTTAAAATATTTAAAAGATTAAACTCTGAAATGTCTCCCTGACCCAGTAGGCATTCAAGCGAAAAGCTCCAGGACATTGGTCTAATGTTACATCTACATTATTCAGTCTGATTCCTTGCATTCCCAGGTGACATTCCCATGGTCACAGCAGGGCAGGTGTTTTATGGACTATCTGATTATATAAGTCTATACTTATCTTTACAACTTTGAATCCTGTCCTTAACTAGTCATTTCAACTTCTTAGTAAAGGAATTGATCGTTATCATGTTAAATGTTTTTGTTGAGAGACTGGTCCACTTATCTGCTGCTCTGCAAAAGGAAAAAATATCATTCCAACCTCTGTGTGTGGCGGTTTAAGTTAAATAACCTGCACAATAAAGAAAAGAAATAATTTATAAAACCCAATTCCTTACAAGATTTAAATCTTGCTGCTGGGAAGCTGTTCCATCATCTCTGGGATACAACAAAAGGCTTATTGTTACATCTAGCCTCCAACCTCAACCTTTGTCTCATTCATTTTTGTATATATTGCACCTTTTTCTTTCTTTCTCACTCTCCGTGTCTAGTGCTATTGGTCATTACCTGGGGATATTCTCCCACTGTGAAAGATGCTACACAAATTTTAATTATATTGCACTGCAGTTTAAGCACAAATTTTGCCTTTTTATGGGAAGCAGTGAAGTAATAGATAACAAGACATCCCACGTTGTGTGGTCCTACTGTAAAGCCTTCTTCTACTTCTCATATATCACAAGTAGTTCATCAAATTGATGGCACAGGCACAAAGCCTTCTTGTGTGCTGAGATTTCTATGATTGATATAGGAATTCTGGAATATTGAAAATATTTCTTAGGGTGCTCAAAGTACAAGGATTGTGTTTTAATGCTCTGTGACAATCCCACCTGTCAGAAGAGCTTCATCTCTGACAGAAATAATTTGATGGAACAGAAAGTAAATGGATATTAAACCTGCTTCTACACTAAATGACCTCTACATAACCCTAATACTGGAGTTGATGTTTTTAGTATTGTAGAGAAAGGTGGATTTAAAGGTTCCCAGTGAGCAAGGAGGAATCAATGAGAATTTGCTTCTCTCAGTTTGGGTGAGTGGACTCATCCTTGTCTCTGGATTGGAAGGTTGGGGATCCAATGCCCCACATTGACTGTGACACAAGATGTTAAACAAATGTAAAATAGATCTTTCTTTAGCATTGCATTCTATGAGGAGGAGAAAATGGCATGGGCTCATTCTCAAAAACAGACTGGGGTTAAAAGAGTTGCTCAATGGAAGGGAATTAAATGGACTAAAACCACCACTGACCACTTCCTGCCTCCCTTCACCCTCCTTACAATTCCAATCCAGGTATATTTTAATAGACACATGATTTGTATTCAAAGTTTGGAAATACAGAATTGTCAAGAAGCAAAATGTACAGTAAAATTTGACATTAAATATTCAAGGAGATTAATTATGCCACCACTCCCTTCTCTTCTATGTTTAGATTCTGATAAGTACATCACTACCTTGCCAAGCACATTGACGCCACAGCAAAATCTATAAACTACAAATAGAGCCCGATTTGCAAATGTTTTGCAGCATAGCTTCTCGAATCGTTTATTCAGCCATTCAGCCTGAACAAATTCAACAGAAAACACTGAACAAAAGGCATATTGTACACTAAACTAATGAGATTAATCAAATATGTTTCTGGCTGAATCTTAAATCTGGCAGTGGTTTAACATAGACTTAATATTAATATCGAAAGAATTAGGCTTAGATCAGGAATTCTACACAATTGGAGTGAGCCATATCAACCTGTCCACTCCCTCAGTTCAGCAGGCTCCGGCCTGTTCCACGTCCCCTCGCTCGGGCCCCCCCAACATCAGCGTTCGAGCCTTCAGCCTCTCTGCCCCAACAAAATGCATCTCATTTGCAGGGACTGAATATCCACACTTCCAAGTATCTTTAACTCGCTAACTTCACTGAGCATGTCTGTAAAATGCCTCTTTATGTTGGGTTCACTACATTGTACTGTAGTGAAGTACAAGTGGCAAAATGTGGATAGGAATAAAAGTTATGGCTGATTGGATCTGTTAGGATGAGATGCAGCAGGGAATTAGGAGATGCAGCCAAGTTTAGTGAGTATTTAAGAAGAGGGAGGTTAAAGATGACAGGACTACAGATAGAAAATAAATGTTCTATTGAGAATGGGACAGTGAGAAGGAGGACAAAGAATTATTACAGGATTCAAGTTGTCTGAGGTCCCAGACTGATGGAAAAGCAAATAGATTTATATAAATTAAATGAAAGGGAATGGAACAGATAGCAGTGGAATAGAGGCGGCAGGTCTAAAAGGAGGGTAGGATTATTCAGATGCTTCTACTTCATTTTTCTGATCTTTTTTCCTTGTTTAAATTTCCCTTTCTTTCTCTGTCCTCTTTACATGTTAGTGTTAATTCGCATTACTTTACAATAGGTAAACTATTGACGACTGGAGGGCTGGTTGAATCTGGTGTAGTGATGAGATATATAGAGCCATGCAATGTGAAAGTCAGTAATCCAAGATTAAAAGTAGTCGCACGGAATGTATTGAGCAACCAAACAATTCATAGTTTCATAACATCTCAGAAGATTAACCCCAGAGGTGGCATTCCTGTAAGAAATGCACCTGGATGAATATTAGATAAGATGTGGGTAGCACGCGTCTTCTCGTTTGACACTAGAAAAGAGCTTTGCCAGCTCTGATGCACAAAAGCATGCATTTCACAGCATTGGAATGTGCGAGAGACCTGGAGGCAGATATTGTATACTAATGGGTTTCTTTGGTGGAGAAGGATTATTTAAGTGATTTTTCCATATGCCTAAATCCAAGTTGGCTGAATAAATGGATCTGACCGGCCAAAATGAGGTGGTACCTGCGATTATGAAGGAAGGGATAGGTATCTAGTACTGGCCAGTGCTGAATAGGAAGAAGGAACTTGTATTTTTATATTGTCCAAGGGCCTCAAAGTGCTTCACAAGTAATTGCTGTGTTGGGATGTTTTCTGATTTGCGCTAACGATATCCCACAAACCGTATAAGATGAACGCCCGTTTCACTTGCCAAGCTTCCTGTTGCTTGTAC